TCGTAAACTCAAAATTGGGTTGGCTGTTCAACAACCGTTATAAAATTAAAATAAAATCAGTTGTCAAGCAACATATTCCGTCCCACAACGAAATTCCAAAAAATAATATCCCAGATAAATTAGCAAAAAAAAAAAAAAGAAAAAAAAAGACGTAACATTAAACAAACCTCTTTTGAAGAAGTTTTCGAATGACGACCATGCACGATTGCCTCTATATCCTCTTTTACAGAGAGATTTCTTTAGAGGTACCCATCTCACTAGAAAGATTCTATCGCTATTGGGGGGTTAGGGAACTTTTGTTTAGTTTAACAGTCTTTCATACAGTCTTTTATTGTTCTGTTTTGTTTGTTTGTAGTCTGCTTGTTATTAGTCCTTTTTTGCGTATCTTTTGTTTGGCGAATGAATTTTGTTTATGTTTTTGTTATTCTCGCCTTGCTGCATTAGAATTAAAAGGAAAAAAAAGAAACTAAAATTTAAAACGACTGAAGTAATTATGTTACCACGTGTTGTAATTGATTTCGTTTTTTCTTCTAGTTTTCAGTTTTCAAACTCATATGTATTACTCACGTTTTCTTTTTTTTCTTCAAATAACTAATAGTTATGTAAAAAGAAAACAAACTTCCGATTGTAAAACTCGTGTTGCGCAAAGAAGTGTGTATGGCCTCTTGGGCCTCATCTTTGCCTGCGGTCTACTTTCTCTTGAAGAAGAATGTCCTTGGAATTCGTTACGGCCTGGCTCAGTAATTGACCCACTTACGTGATTGAAAATATTATTTTGAGTTGCTCAGGAAAATATCTGGGTAGTTTTAAAATAAATTTCAATAAAAAATTATTTAAGGTTATGAATAAAGAATAAGGTATATTACCAACAAAGTTGGAGGACTGGTATTGTGTACAATGCCAAAAATCGACTAGCAAAGTGATTAAATGTCTTTCACATTGCTTTAGCTTTCTGTTTAATTTCAAACGAAAAACCGGCAATTTAGGAAATGTCAATATTTCATACTTTCGGCATCAATGCCTGAACCATTACCCAGTATTCTCTACTCAGATGGATTCTTGATATGATATTTATATATTACGAAGGAAAAAATACCCGGTTAAAGTAAAAATTATGTGTTCATAAAAAATTGATTTGGAGTTGGGTGTAAAAGTTGAGTTAAGGGTTTCCTAAGGAAGCTGATTTAATTATTAAAGAAAATGCTACTTTTCTATGATCTTTACCTATGTAATACTTCATTTACAAAAATGAAGGAAGGACGGATTAAAATGTGCGTTTTTTCTTTATCCGAAGTTTCAAATAATTTCAAGTTATCAAAAGTAATGCTGGTGTGTAATATTTAGCTCGTAACATTATCATCGATGGCTTGTGTACATAATTATAGTTAGATAAGACTGGCATATGTCAATCGACGTGAAAACTCAGAATCCACCAAAAACTAACATTTTCCAAAATTTACATGGGACCAGAGAGATGGCGGAATTTGGCAACTAACAGCTCTCTTTGTATTAGGCTGTAGTACTGCTGATAATATTGTTATTATTAAATATGAATAGATGATAAGAAATATTAATAGAATAAAGACTAGAAGATATTCTATGTAAGTTTTTCAAACTGATCATAATCTACGTTGAAGAGGAACTGTATGGATGAAGAAGAGCATGGAAGAGGAAAATGAAATGCAAGATAATATTAACAAATTAATGGGGTAGACTATATGTGAGGGTGTCCCTTGATTCTCGTCAAGTTGTGATGGTGGATGATTGCCAAGCTGGGCGATGTTGAAACCCAATCGTGATTCTGATTTGTTTAGATTATACCGTTATTTTTAAATGTTCAACGGTACATGTGATTTCAGAGGTTCGTTAGTTCTACGTTGGATACCGGCTGGTAAGGTTACATTTGTTACTGGTTCTAAAAATGACTACATTGTGTCATTACTACTGTGATTTGCATTTTATTGGTTTTATTAATTTTGCTTATATTAGGTTCATTGCAATTTTATAACGTTTTGGCCGATGCTTCGTTGAAATTCTCTAATGTTTTATTGAAATATCATTATGTTTTGGCCGCCATTCTTGTTACCACGGTGTTCCGCGCAAACGGGAATGGAGCCAAGCACAAGTCGCCAATTTTGCCATGGGGCACCCTCAAGTACATTTTTACCTTGGCCAAAGAATGTTCTTTGCTCGCCAAGATTTTTACCATATTAATGCTAGGGGGTTAAGTCCCCTGTTTGCTGCCGCTCGCCAACTTCGACGATTGCTTGTTTGTTTGATCTTTAAAATGAGAAAAAAAAATTGGAACCTTTTTTTTTCAAAAGAAAATGTTAAAATGTTTTTTTTTTCTAAATTTAAATTTAATTTAAAACTTATTGAAAGAAAATGCTTACATATTTTCTAAAATTATGTATCACAGCTTAAACTTTTATGTGATTTGCAAATTTAAAAAGTATGTGATATATAATGAAGCAGCAAATATAGCTTTGTTATCAGTATGTTTTAAACAAATCTAGTTTAAATTAGATTTAGCGTCAGGTGTGTTCTACTTTCTTTAAAATAAAAATTTGTTCCTGTTATAGAAAATAGCTTAATATTTATTTTCACCTCATTTTGAGAAAATACAATTTTCATTTATTTAAAATAAGGTTTATATCGTCACTTCTTATTGTTAGATCTGAAGTCATTTAATTGCTTACGTTCCAACGTATGTTTATTGTTACGTTCAAATTAGAGTCACGCCCAAATATCAAAAGCAAACTCATATCGTTGCAATTAAGATTTGAAAGCACTCACAAGAAAAGAATTTCAGATAAAGAAAATTATAGTTGCATATGGTAAAAATTGTTTTTGTTATATTTTCCAAAACTGATTTTCAAGCACGAAAATGAATAAAATAACGATCACATGATGTTATTTTCTTATATTATATAATTTATGCAATAAAATAAGTTGTATACACATTGTTTTGACTTGTTAACAAAAGGCAACAGGATTTTTGTAAATTACAAAGAAATTGGTCTTCCGAAAAATAATAAACTTAATTTTGTTTCCCAAAAATAGTAATCAAAATAGCTTTCAAAAATAGCAATTGTGTTCAAAGTATGAACAAATGATGTCTATTTTTACAACAAGTCTGTAGTTGTGTAAACAGGTAGTTTTTTACAGGTAATTTTGACTTGTTAATAATAAGATGCAGCTGCTTTTTGAAAAATAATATGAAAATTGATCTTTCAAAAAATTAAACATTTATGTATGTTTTCTAAGACTGATCTTTCAAAAATAGCAATTGAGTAAAAATATGAACCCATGTTGTTGTTACTCTACTTGAAGCTGGTAGTTGATGTAAGCATACAGATTATTCAAATTGGTTTTGGCTTGTTAATCAAAAAACTGAGCTGGTTTTTTGTAAATTAACAAGAAACTGATCTTTCAAAATATTGCATATTTAGTCTTATTTTCTAAAATTGATCTTTCAAAGACAACAATTCCGTTAAAAAATGAATTCATGAATTATTTTATAAGCATGCAATTTATGTAACCAAATAGTTTTTTAAACACGGATTTCGACTTGTAAATAATAAATTTGTAAATTAATAAATGTGTTGTTCAAAATTCTTTTGAATGATTCTTGAATGATATTTTAAATGATCACTTTGTTAAAAAGCGTTTTCTGAGACTGATCAAAAATGCGTTAAAATAGCTACGAAACAAATAATGGTAGAATTTAAAAACCTCGTGTATTCAAAATGGGATACCTGCAAGTGACGTAGTGTGGGTATCTCAATCCTGATTGGTTGTTGAAACGGGGTAATTGTTTACGTTAGCAACTGGTCTTTTCATTCTATTTCGAGTAAGCCAAGCCTATCAAGTATCAATTCTCCTAAGTGACACATTTTATATTCTTTCACAAAGATTACTTTACCAAGATTTCAATTCTTTCACTATATATATTTCTCTCTTAACATGAAGACTGGCATGTAGACTGGCAACTTTAACATGACTAGCAACTGTTAACATGGTAACTCTTAACATGAAGACTGGCAACTAATTATGCATCGAAGTTGCCAGGTACGCAAAGCAAAAATATATCATGGTTACAATAAAATAGGTAAGCAAATAATAAATCTATATTAAGTGAAAGACGTAGACGAGAAATAATTATATTTGAAAAAATTCTATGAGCGATACGGTGCTGAATTTAATTAACTTCACGTTAATCAACATTCTAACTTATGTGGAGAAACTTAGCTATTTTGCTTATAAGCGATGACGCTGGCGTTGACGTCATAGGTCACATGTGTTGGTATCCATGATTTTCCTCCTCTTGAAGTGCAAGTACCCAATTGAAACAGCATATATTCATTTTTGAACAAAATGCATAGCCTCAAGAGTGACAAGACAAAGAAATGTGTAAGAGAGATGTTCGTTGGTTGGGACAGGATACGAACCAAGGATCTCCAGGTTTGTAGTAGGATGATTTCTCTCACACACATTTTATCATATCACTTTTGAGACTATAAATTTTAGCCAAAAATGAGAATATGCTGTTTCAATTTTGAATACACAATTTTAGTATTGTTTCATTTAGAGCTATTTTGACACATTTTTACTCAATTTTAGTGCTGAGTCCTTTCTTTTTACAGTGAAGATACTTAATTTATGAGTATAAGGAATGAATAATTAAGGTAAAAATGCATCATATTAATGAAAAACGTTGTTTGCGTAAAGTGAAATTCAAACGTATATTGTCTAAATCTTTTGACTATGATTGAAAAGAGCATCGAGTCAATTTTTTTGCTTTTTCTTACACACATAATTCATATTTTAAAAAATTATTTTATTTATGTGAGTTTAATTACTTTATTTTATTTCATCTTTTTTTGAATTTTTGTATATAAATTAAAATGTTGCTTGTGTATTGACCTGTAAATACATATTAGTTATAATAGTGTAAATAGACTTATTATTTGACTTTATTCCTTTTTTTTCTTTTTTAGTTATTCGATGATGTGTGGGAAAATGATTCAACAGAAATGTAAGCATTCATTTTTATATTTCTATTTCCTTTGCTTAAATAAGATATAAGAAGAAAATAATTGCGTGTTAAGCATCAATTTATAATCACAAATTTCTATTATTATATTATTCATTGCAAAACACTCAATTATGAGTGTACAGTGCACAAAATTAAAAACGGAACTCCTTAATAACTTTTTATCTAATGATTGGATTTTCACATGCTAAGATGCAATCTTCATGTTCCAAGGTATAACCATAATTATGTTTAAATTTTTCTCGCCGAAAGTATTTTAAGTTATTAAATAAATCATAAAAATAATTCTTCCTCTGATTAAATAAATATTTTTCGATATACTTACTCGCTAGAATTCTTGACCAGCAAAATATGGGAAAATAGTCGTAATCTTGAAAATATGGTCCCTTTCCCAACATTTTAGGCATGACGGTGGTTGAAAGCTTCACCTTTTAATTCTAATTACACTTTTTGAATATTTTGCCACAGTTCTTAAGCAAATTAAGAGGTTTCAAAATTTTTGGACCTAATTGTAAAACTTGTTTATCTGAAATTTTTATAACATCTATAAACGTTATACAATGTTTAATGTAAAATGAAATGTTTAAAAATTATTTATTATTTTATATATTTTTTGATTTAATAATGTTCAAAACCTTTTTTACTTCTAAGGCACACATTTTTAATTAATTTCAAAATTACAGAATTTTGAATCACGAAATGAAAAATGAGTGCGAAATCGACCGAATAATTTCTGACTAATGAAAATTCAACTAAGTCATATATTTTTTTAAAATTTTCATTTCCTAAGAACTATTCAACCATTTCTGTTCTAATTTTGAATATTATGAATCAGAAATAAACACTATAAAAAATTTAATACGTTATGATTCAAAGATTTTTCGAGTTACTGAAATAATAAAAAAAAAAAAAAAAATATAATGAATTATTTTTGACATTGAAATTATTTTTTGATAAGGGAGTTTTAAAATTATGCTTAAGATTTTAATATTATCTTAAGTGGTTTAAATAGTTCAAGTAAAATACAAAATACTGACTCAAAATGTATTTCATATTGCCTATGTACTGCGGGTACCTCAGTCTTTTTTTCATTCTTCTTTTTTTTAAACGTCGTTGAACAGCCGACCCAATTTTGAGTTTATGACTACTAATGTTCAATTCTGTAGATTTGTAATTTTGAACAATATCAGAAGACAAAGAAACTCCTGGATCAGTACCTCCAGAGGTATGAGTTGTTATGGGAACATAAAGGACTTTGTGACTCGACAGATTTAACGCATATCAGTCAGCATTTACTACGATGGGAGTCTTCAGCCAGCGGGGATCGAGCCCACGACCTCTTTGACACGGGCCCAGTGCCCTACCAACCAGGCTATCCCGGCCCAACACCTCCGCAGTTTGAAAAAAAAACATATTTCTTCAGAGAAAGTGAGATTTTGAGTCTGATATCGTAACTTAAAATATCATTTTCCCAAATTTATTCGAGTATTTAAAATTAATCTATCGAACTATTGAAATTGTATCTTAGTTCTCAATTAAGACATCATTTGATTAAAAGTTATTAATGTGTTTGACTTTTAATATTGCCCACTTAGAAATAAGCTACCCTTAAACTTTTGAATAACGTATTCCACAGTCATTGAAATGGTGTCTAGACATAACAAAATGGCTATGAGTTTCTCGATGAGAACACTGTAGAGTTTCTCGATGAAACACCTAAAATATGAATTAAAGTAAGGTAAGGGTTTTAAATACAACGCAGAAAGCAAGTATTATTTTGAGCTCAACTTCTAAAAAATTTTTCTTTACAGAAGGAAAAAAATAACTACATCAGTTTTACGGAAATTAAACTTTTGTTGTTATGGTGCCATTTCTATCATTTTACTTCATTTTTATGGTTCTATTTGCTAGCTTTATTACTTTTTACTATTTAACTTAATACTTAACTTTACTACTAAGTCATTTTGAGTACGAAAGTAAACACTTTTAAGTTCAAACCGTTCTTCAAGTTTATGAAGTCCTAACTCCTTAAGTTAGTGATTCCATAGTTTTGTAAATAATGACCAAAAAATACGTCTTTTTTGGCGCATTTTTAACTTGTAACTTAAATGCAGATAAAGAGTTTTTGGCATAAAAATAAAGACACTGTATAAATTAAAAATTGATTTTCATTTTCTTGTATCTTCTTAATCTTAAACCAAGATCATACTTTTGCATCGAATAGTTATATTTCTTACATATAGCCCTTTAAAGTGTAAGAAATAAAGGTTAAAAAATATATTTAAAAAAAAGAAAGTAAATGAGGTTAAAATAGTTAAATGAGGTTCTATTATTTTGTGTTGAATCACACTGTTAGAAATTTCTCAGAAAAATGGAAAAACAACAATTTTATTGCTATTAAGCCATATTTAACCAAAACAATCAACTAACCTTAATAAATATGTTATTCAAACTGTTAAGTGTAAAAAAAAATCGCTTGTTGAGTATTTCCCCCTATAATAGTATAAGGACCAGAATTTTATCTGCGCCAATTAGGCCCACTTTATGAATCCACTTAGATCCATGCAAGTGGGTACGCACTATAGCCGAGAAGAGTATTTTACCAATCTCATGACCGGCTGAACTGGGGTCCGAATCCCATCGCTTATATAATAATTTTCCGTTTCTTCAACACATGAGTTTCAGTGTCTTGCACTCTTCAATTAGTGATCCTGGACAATTGGACGTCGAAACTCTGACGTATATACAGCAACCTCACAGAGGTGCTTAACATAAGAAAGTCTAGTACAGAATAGTTTCCATCTCTACTACAGAGTATACTGCCAAATAAATTAACTAAGCAAAAGCCACATTCCACAGTTCATCAGGCAAAACACAACTTACATGTCTCACTCCATCGCACAACTTCAATGTCTATAACCAAACGAGAAACCTGACATAAAACTTCTAAGTTCAGTTAAATTTTATTTCTGCGGTTTTGAAACCGTATAGATTTGTATTAAAGTTTTTTTAACCACACCAGATGCAAACAGTTTTAAAACTACCGTAAACCTTACGGTTGTTTAAATAAACAGACTGCTGCTGTTCATTTTACCGTAATTTTGCAAATTAAATTCTAAAAGTGCATAACAAGAAAAAATGAAATTGTTTAGGAATAGTAAACATAAGTAAAAATTCTTATGGATTGCTGATTGTATTTTTAAAACATTTATTAAATAATTTCTGAATAAAGGGGAAAAAGGTTGGCAGTGAAACTAGAAATGAAAATAACTACTCGCCACCGGCCTTGCGTAGAGTAAAAAAAATTTTAAAAAATAAATAAATAAAAGGAAAAGTAGCTACTTAAATTAACAAATGGATTTTTTCTTATAAAAATCGCTTAATGGTCAAAGTACATCAATATACAGGGGTCTGTTTGGTCCGTAACGGACCCTTCACAAAATATATTTTCAGAAAGATGGACCCTTCACAAAATATATTTTCATAAAAACGGACTCTTCACAAAATATATTTTCATAAAAACGGACGCTTCACAAAATAATAAAGCTTTTAATCGGATTCTTCACGGATTTGTTTATCTTCATTATTGTTTTGTAAATCGAATAAACCCTTCCGGGGAGGGGGGAGAAAAACGGTTCCAGACAAACTAAGTTTCCCTAAGTTTAAATTCCAAATGTAGTATTCTAAGAAAATATTTCTGCTTTTACAAGCATCGTAGGCGCATTCTTATAAATATTAAACCATAAATTTTTTTGTGAATAAATAATTGATCAATCTATATTTATTCATGAAATTAATTAATAGAATATTATGTAAATAAAAATTAATTTCTGGCAGTTTTTTAAATTAAATATTATAAATTTAAGAATTGTTTAAGTTTACTTAATGTGTAACACAGTAAAAGTGATACATTACTAAGATATGTTATTTAAAATATGTCAATTGAAATTATTAAAAATGTGAGTGATTTTGTTTCTATTATTCGTCCGAAATGAATATTCTGTGTTGAGCAGTATAGGCTAAATACCAAATATTTGTATGATGCGTCTCTAATTTAGTAGCAGTTTTGTTGGGCAGAATCTTGTATCTATTTACAGTTTAAAAACTTCTTGAAAACGTTTTTAGCTATTTTTGCATTAACAGGATCCTATTTGCACAAATTCACAAAATCAGGACCCGGGTTGAAAGAATGTGACTTAACGCTTATTTTATAATCACAAATTATGAATAGTTTTTTCACATTTTCACAAAAACAGGACCTTTCACAAAATGCCTGGACAGTCCCCTGATACAGAAAGAGACTCTAGGTAACAGAATTTTCATTAAGATGTCCAATGTCTCTATTCAAAATTTCGATCCTTCAAAATTCATCAAAGGATTCATGGGGAAGGAGAGTTCCTTAGCAATTCACATATTTCAAAGTTGTAATGTGTACATTAATTGTATTTTGACCTCCCCAAATATTTTTAAATAAAGTTCTTTAAAGTCAGCATTTCTAAATAAAATTTTTCACATATTTATTTATTATTTCTATTGTTAAATTAACTTTTTATAGACGTACATTATTTCTAATACGAATTTTAAAAAAAAAAACTAATTTCATCCAAGCAAGAAATATAAGTCTATTCTTTAATAGTCGCAAAAACCGACTATTAAATGAAAAGGACCTATCGATATTAGTCACCGACTCAATAGGTTTGACAAAAAATGGCTTCTAAATTACAAGAGCCTACCCGCCACTGGCTACTAACTGAAAATTTAAATTTTCATGTCTACGTGAAACTATACTTAGATCACCAAGAAAAGAATGGAAGATGAAGCTAGGTAAAATAATTCATTGCAAAATGTGTTAAGATATAATTTATTATTTTAAATTATAATATGGATAAAAAAAACAACAAATAACTCAGTTTAAATCCTCAATGTTAGTCCAATTTCATATTGTGGGAGAATAATATTGTAAATTACGTCTATAATATGTTCGAAAATATCAATTATGTTTCGCTTTTACTTTGTGAGCAAGTAACTTGAAGTATGTATGTACTAAATTTTTCTTCTTCTTTAAAACGGGATTATTTTTTTCTTTACCAGAAAACTGGGATGAACTAAACTAACACTACATATATAAAATAACTGTTACGCATAATTTTTATAGCCAAGTATGTTTATAAACATACAATGGAGATGTTCACTAATATTTATTGTTAAGAAATCGAGTATTTCATTGTAATTTTTCCTTATCAATTGTAATTTTTTGTAATTTTTTCTTTTAATACTTAATTTTGTGTCAAATATATTTGAAAATAAAGTTTTTCTTTTTGTCTAAAAAATATTTTTACTTTTCAGTGAAGCGTCGGAAGAAAAACCGTCTGTACGAGAAAGTATTGAAGAAACTCTACAAACCTTAGACCTGTTTATGAATAACAAATTTAAAGAAGCACTTGATCTGATGGAACCGTGGTATGTATGTTGGTTGACTAAATAAATAAGTAAAAAAGGTGGAATTGCAAATTTACGATGTCGTTAAATTTTTATGCTTGCTAGCTCAAAAAATATGTATATAAAGTCGAATGAATCTGCAATTTTGTTTTATTAATTTTTTGAAGATTATGTTTTAAAATGATAATTAAAATTCATGAAATAGTTAGTTATATACAATGTGCTACGTTAACTGTACCCTTTATTACACTACTTTTAGAATCCTTATCAAACAGGAAGGGAAAACAATCCATGTATTAGGATTTGCAAATCACTATTATATTTCTAATAATAATGTTGTTAATAATATGATATTGAAAATATTAATATTTGCAAATAATTAAATTACAAAGAAAAAAATATGTTTTGAAATTGAATTCTAACAAACCGTTATTAAGGAAAGTTGGATCAAAAATATCAGAATTTATTTCTTATAATCATCTTTCAAATATTTTTTATTGCCTTCGGATAATCACTCACTTAGATTTTGATGTTATCAATTTCACCTACATAGAAAGGTTTTCTTTGCGTTATGCTTGCTCTCGTTCAAATATTATTTTGTGATCTCTAATACGTTTAGTCTTTTTAAATTTCATCTCTGAAAATATTTTTAATTTCATTTTCCATTTCTTAAAAATATATGTTAATTAAATATGGTAGATACGAAAAGATAATCTTTAAACCGTTAAAATTATATCTAAAAATCATCTTTAGTAGTCTTAATATAGAGATTTATTTAGAATTCACATATTAAAAAAATTACATCAAATATATTTTTAATGTTTGCCATAAATGCTTAAATATACTAAACAGATATGTATCAAGAAAAAATAATTTTTTTAAATAATATTAAGAATAATATTTCATAATTGTAAATAAATATTAATAGGGAGCTTTGCCCCCCTGATCACTGCGCTCGCTGATCCCTAGGCTATATTCTCAGTTTATATCGTATTGCAAAGAATAGTTTCGAAGAAATCAAACGAATTCGGAGAATCGATATAACACCTTTAGAATTCATTTTTTCTGGAATTATTCGACAGATGTGGTTCAATTTTGTATTTTGCATTCTGAAATTACATCCTAAAAATACATTCTTTTTAATAATGTAAAAATGAGTATGTCTAAGTTTTTTCGACTATTAGTAAATAAAACAATAATAAATAAAACACTAATAAATAATTAATAATTATCAAAAGATATATTTTGCACGGAATTATCTTTGGATAAATGAGTCTTAGAGTTGTGTGCAAAATTTTTTAAATTTACTTAACTAATTTCCGAGATATGGTGCAGCACACAAAAGTAAAATTTAACATTAAGGGGTTCAAACTCCTGACCAAACTATTGGGACCATATTTCCAAGATCGGAGCTCCCTCTATACTTTGGGGGTCTGAAATCATATTTTTTTTCGTTTCAGGGATTATTAAAAGTGATTATTCAGTATTAAAAGTTACGTGAAAATCTGATCATGAAATTAAAAGTTATTCAGGTTGATTCGTTTTTTTTCTTCTCTTTTTTGCTCACTGTACATCATGTGAAAACTTTGATTTAAACAGTGCACTTTATCCAATTTATGGGTATTATGATATATTTGATTTGTATGCGATTCAATACTAATTGCGTACACTATTTTAACTATAGACACTCTTAACAATTCAGTGATTTGCGTAATTTAATAAGCATTAATGCAGCTTGCTTGCTTACATGAACAGTTAAGTTAAAAGTTTTGATATCTGCCCAATTTATATCTCTAGTTTATTTCAGTTCTTTTTTGACAACGTGAACGTTATTTTATCGGTTTTGGGATTGCATACACATATCACATAAGTATAAGCGTTTTATACGACATTAGGGGATACCAACCCCTGATCGTTGCCATCACAAATCCGTTCGCAGTTCCCTTCGGATTTCTTCGCAATTCGAGATTGCTTTCACCACTGATTCATTGCATACTTGGGCATTTAATTCTAACTTCAACTATCAGTATGCCTGCTGATACTCTTTTTAAAATGCTGTTCGAAAAATATGAACCATATTGTTTCATTTAAACCTTTGGTATAAATACATTTCCGCAATTCTACATTTCTGCAGGCCATAAATATCTATTACCACAACACCTATATTAGCATTTAAGGTATCTACTTTCAAGAATACCTGCAGTACCTAGTACAATAGTCAATTAGTATTCACTAGCGTCAGTAGTTTGGCGATTTTTTTACGGTGGCAAATACTTTACACCAGATTGGTGAAATGAAAGACCATAGATAACTCTTGGTTTTTGGGGCTTCATCTCACCAGTAGAGTGTTTTTTTACACTAATTGATGAAGAGCCACCATTTTTCGTTTACCGTAACACTAACATTTAGAATTACAGTAAGATATAAGATACACATAAGAGTCAGTAAAATTATTTTCACTAGGCAAGATAAGGTAACCAATTTAGGATGCATATATACTGGAATTCTAAAAAAAAAAGAAAAAAGATTGGCTAATCAAACATACGCGTAATACAGAGAGAATAATTAGAAGAATTCAAACTAGGGATAACAAAACTTGGATAGGAATATAATAATTTAATGCTGTTCGAAAATACTGAAAAATTTAAATATTATTATTCCTATCGTACAACTGAAGGCGGTTCCTTGGGGTATTCATCCACTTTTCCTTCGAGGTTAATATCTTCCTTACCTGTACTATGCGTGATTCTTTATCGCCTTACGAGATCATCGCCAACAAAACCAATTACTTTTATTTTTTGAAATGCTGGATGCTATTTAGGCAAAGTATGAAATAATCGTCCTCATGAGGTTATTATGTAAATGATGTGCATGTTACTGTGAATGCCCGAAATCGGTGGTTGTTGACTTTCACCGGTGAATGTTGACAATCAAATTAGACGCTTTGATGAATGTCCGAAGCATTTATTACATCCGATTTTATATTAATTTATTCGTGGATATAAATACATTTATTCGATATTTTAATACTTACTGACGATAGATTAGAACAAACATCAGTGTTTGGAGTATCGGGCAAATATATACCGGGCAATGGCTCTTGACCTTAAAAAAACATCAGTGTAGGGTATACCGGGCAAATACATACCCGACAGTGGCACTTGACCCTAAAAAAACATCAGTGTTGGGTATACCGGGCAAATGTATACCCGACAGTGGCACTTGACCTTAAAAAACATCAGTGTAAGGTATACCGGGCAGTGGCACTTGACCTTAAAAAAACATCAGTGTAGGGTATACAGGGCAAATGTATGCCGGGCAGTGGCACTTAACCTTAAAAAACATCAGTGTAGGGTATACCGGGCAGTGGCACTTGACCTTAAAAAAACATCAGTGTAGGGTATACAGGGCAAATGTATGCCGGGCAGTGGCACTTAACCTTAAAAAAACATCAGTCTAAGGTATACCGGGCAGTGGCACTTGACCTTAAAAAAACATCAGTGTAGGATATACCGGGCAAATGTATACCGGGCAATGGCACTTAACCAGACCTAGTATGACTAGACCTTTGGTAAATGTCCGAAATATATACTAGGTCTAGTGCCACTTTTGCTATAGCTTAAATTTTAAAAAAAAATTAAACAAAGCGTTTGAATCAATTTTAAACTGATAACGAAATTATTGCTTTAAAATTAAAAAAAAATAATAAAAACTGCGCCAGATAAGAGTAATTGAAGTAGTTGCTTTATACAGCGCATGTGCGGAAAAAAAATAAAAAAAAAAATTATCCAGGTGCATCTAAAAGTGGATGAATATCCCAAGACACCACTGAAAGCATACATACATATTTTTACCGGCATACATTTATGTTTTAAATTTTTTTCAATAGACATTGTGCGGATATCCAATTTACTGGCGATATCCAAAGAGCTCTAACATAGGTGTTTTCGAAAGCGAAAATAATTTAAGCATGGTGTGATTGCGCGCATAATTAGAAAATTAGCGTAAGTTGTTTTCCACTTTAGATACTTAAACTTAAATTACACTCTTTAAATTGTATATGAATGCTCGATTAGGTGTTGAACTTAACATAAAGAGTTCTTTTACACAATCTTTTAGGATTTTCAACTTCATATTCGAAGAGATTACACCAAAGTTTTTACAGTGTAGATAATGTTATTTAGTTGAGGTATTTAATTAAGATTTTTTTTGTTTTTATTTTTCATGCTCATGACTGCTCAATAACTTGATATTGGAGTTTTCATTTCCTTTTTGCCAGCACTAAAATATTCATGGTTTTTTCAACAGGCAATCAACTTTGTACCTACGCACTAGTGTTCAACATAATAAGATAGATGCATAATGAACTATTTGAACTTAAATAAATAAATAGAATAGTTTCTTTTTATATAATTTACTTAAATTTTTTTAAAAAAAGTAATGAGTTCTTTTTTATCTATCTAGGGCACACTGCAGTTCATATCATGCTCTTGGAAAAGGAACAGTGTGTTTTATACAGTCTATATTATCATTTGATCCGGTATGTAACTTTTTCTTTCTATTTTTGTCCTCTGATTCATTACGATGGCATAATTAGAAAACACATGGTGTTGCATAACAGCTGCCTTTAATACACATTAAGTTCCTTGTAAAAATGATTGAAGGTCCCCAAAATAATATTCAAACGGAAAACGGTTTCTAAATCTGTTGAAATATTGAGGAAAAAGACGCGATTAAAATTGTCAAAACTTGTTTAAGTCCTGGAGAAAGCAGTTTGAAAATGAAAGGAGAATATTAGGAACACCTTTAAGCTTTATCCATGCTCAAACCGGTTATGATAATTTTTATCCAGGCTTCCTACATCTGTTAGATGTTCCTGTTTTTTCCTCACGGAAAAATTAATTTACCACTCCTAATGCTTATAATTTTTTTGGGACAAAGATTTTAAAAATAGGACGGTGCTTTTGGATCAGCCTGTGTTACATGGTAATGACGGGTAAAGCCACTGCTATCAGGCCTGATGAATTACGTTACCTTTTCGATCACTAAATTAATGAAATTATAAAACGTGCAGCAATAGTATGTATAACTCACTAAGCTTCGATTCATATTAATTTATTTTATTAGAAAAGATACATGCTATGTAGAAGAAGCCTATTTGCCCATATATATCGGTGAAATAATCAGGTTCTAATTCGTATACGTACTTAGATAAATCAGTAAATCGCATTCAAAAACATGTCATTACAAAGACGCCACTGAAGAACTAGTGACATCAGACATCCCATGGAGAAAATTTACTCTCTGTAAATGCAACCCAGATCACTGTTCTGTCTTCAGAAATGAACTTTTAGCAAATGTAGATGATAAGCCCATACTGATTGAAAGGAATTTTGATGAACTATGGATCTTACTAAACAGCTGTTGCCTGCAACATCTTATTATTGGATTCTTGTTGGCATTAGAGTCGGTACAGCTATGTTACAGAAATTACAGATTATTTCTCAGCAACGGGTTGTATATTTTCAGTGGATACCGTCTGTTGTGGTTCTTTATGGCAACGAGATCGTGGACAAACTTACACAGGAGGGCTGCGGCCAACGAATTTATTCTTCAAACCTATCAAGAATTATTCTTTAAGAAAAAAAGAGTGCAACTCAAGGCTGAGTGATTAGTTCCCCAGTCCATCACTTGCATTTGGGCAGAAAGCCGAGGTGTGACAGATCTGCCCTCTTACGGCTAGTTAGTAGCCACATTAAATGTTGGTTAGTGGCCACACCACATTTTCAAAAATGGTGGACAAATCTTCGACATTTGCAAAAAGGTCACGATAGAGGCTTCTTAACACATTCTAGGAAGCTAAGGAGAAAATTTATTCAAATCCATTCCTGGTCATTGACGTTCTGTAAGTCAACATTCTTTTGAACCTTACCTGACTTCAGGAAGAGATTAGACATAACAAGAGCAGTAAATCATGGAAATACAGAATGTGAACAGAATTTAGCCAATTTAAGCGAAAGTAATGCGCATTAAAATTAGCTAATAGTTTTTAGTATCGTGAATAATCTTTGCACGCTAAAGAAAACACTATTTTGTCATCAATAATTTATCAATACAACATTAGAAACAATCCCGGTTTGTGAAATTGTCAATCAGTTTCGTTATTTTTTTACCTTTTCTCCATTTGTGTTTTGTATGCAAAACCGATACTCATTACTTAGATTTTACGAATCTTATTAACTCTCCGTTCTTTAGTCGTAAAAAGTTAAAATTTTAACATCTGACCAATCTGACATTATTTAAGAGCCTTATCATGTTGATCAAAAATCTAAGAATTATTGCGATATTTATTATTATAATATAACATTAATTATAATAATATAACATTAATTATAATATCATAAAATGAATTATATTATTGAATTAATTGTTATATTATAGCAATAATTTTTTTATTATAACATTAATTATTACAATATTATTTATCATAGTTGTTTTCTTTTTATAATTATGGATAAAAGTTTTAAGAAAATTCTTGACTTAATACATGATGGCTTATTTACAAAAAATTTACCATAAATTATAATTTTTAGAGTTTTTTAATAAAGCTAATAACTTTAAGGCTATAACTAGATCATTTATCAATCACTTTCAGAATATTTTACTTAAATTTTAAGTACGTAAGATGTTGGTAATAACATTTACTGCGCAGTTAATATTTTAAAAATACAAACACGCTGTCTACTTACCTTAATTTTACTCAAATAAAGCTTTCAAAAAATATTTTGAAGCCCCAATTAAAATGCCGAAACAAAAACCACTTGATTCTTAGTAAAATTTAATATCCCTGATGCTTTTAAAATTTAAATCGAAAAATACTCCTGGAAAATACCGAGTAAAGCTTCTTTTATGTCATAAGTTTATAATACGGAGTTTGAGATTTATCCTATAAAGAGCTTTTTTTAGATTGAAGTTTAGGTAAATGGACAATAATCCTCTTTTGAGAAATATAATTGAATAATCAAAAAGAAAAAGCTTCTATAAGAAATAAGATAAACGATGCAACGCCTTTTATTCAAATGAGTTTAAAATAAACTTAAATATATTAATATTAATGCAAACACCGAGCTTCAAAAACTCAATAAATTTTTATATTAAAAAAGGTGAAGTTATAAAATGATATTAAAAAAGTTTTTTTAGTTTTACACTGAGAAAAAAGTATGGTTTAAACTACCAGAATATGGCAATATTTATCTAATATTAATCAAAATATTAATCTATATATTAATCTATGGGAACAACAAAAAACTCGGTAACCCTACCGCAGTGATAATGATTTTGGTAAAATTAACATTAATATCTAGTTTTATGATGTGCGTTTTTGAATAGTTTTAGTTTTTTAAAATGAGTTTTATCATATCTTAGAGCATGGCATAAAAATAATTTATTCTGTTAAATTTATTTTTCAGTTTTGTATTTTTTACTAAATCTGTGGTAATAAGAACTATAATTTTAACATTGGAACTATAATTTTGAAAACCAAAATTTTCCGTAAACCGTTATTATAAGAGCGAAAAAATGTCTATATAAAAGGTTTAAATACCATGTATCCTTGTTTGATTAAACCAGAACTTTTTTTTAAAACTGAAACGTCATCACCCTGCAGTATGAGAATTTTATTAGAATTTTTTCTCCGTACAGGTGTAAAAAAGGCAGTTTAAAAATTATCATATAACTAATTAGAATTAAGTTTATAGAGTTTTAATTTTCAGTCTACCATTCGTGAAAAAGATACAGACCTTAAAAAAGTTTAATCTTCATATGGTTAAAAGTTCTACACCAAACCTAACACTACGAATTTTTTAAAAATATGTTTAAACTCTTCTTTACATTCTTCGTAAAAAATATTTTATTCATACATTATTATTTACAAACTTTTTTTTACGTCAAAAAACATTTATTTACATTATATTTTATACTTCAGATGATGTAGTGAAAAAAATCTATGTTATCATGTAAACTGCAGATTAGGTTACACTAGAATTGGTAAGAATCGGTTTTATGTTGAACCACAATAATTATTTCTTGAGCCTCAATACCAAGCATATATTAAATTGAATCATGTCACCGTTGATATTTGTTGAGGTTTGAGTTCGACGCTTCGGAACGTGCATATGGTGCTTGCTTGTACGCGCGTCACGCAGATGATATTTCTACAGAGATCCATCTCATTTGCAGTCGAAATAAACTAGCCCCAATCAAAAGGGTCACCCTTCCGAGNTTAAAGACATTTTAATTTGAACGATAATATGGTTAAACTTAATATGAACGATAACATGGTTCATGTTGTTCTCATGTTGTCGTTCACCATCAAGGTTTTATGTTGAACCACAATAATTATTCCTTGAGCCACAATATCGTGCATATATCGTGTTCTAACTTTAATAAGTTGTTAAATTGAATCATGTCACCGTTGATATTGAACCACAGTATCGCGTAATCAAATTAAAGACAGTTTAATTTGAACGATAACATGGTTAAACTTAATATGAATGATAACATGGTTCATGTTGTTCTCACGTTGTCGTTCATCATCAAGGTTTTATGTTGAACCACAATAATTATTCCTTGAGCCACAATATCGTGCATATATCGTGTTCTAACTTTAATAAGTTGTTAAATTGAATCATGTCACCGTTGATATTGAACCACAGTATCGCGTAATCAAATTGAAGACAGTTTAATTTGAACGATAATATGGTCAAACTTAATATGAACGATAACATGGTTCATGTTGTTCTCATGTTGTCTCTCCTCATCATGGTTTTATGTTGAACCACAATAATTATTCCGTGAGCCACAATATCGTGCATATATCGTGTTCTCACTCTAATAAGTTGTTAAATTGAATCATGTCACAGTTGATTTTGAACCATAGTATCGCGTAATCAAATTGAAGACAGTTTAATTTGAACGATAATATGGTTAAACTTAATATGAATAATAACATGACTCAGCTTGTGGCTCAGCGAGTGATAAAAATTCGAATAATGTTTTAAAAGTTATAATACATTTTCAGTGATGTAAGTTTCGTTGTGGTTCTGTTATTAAAAAAAATGAGAAATTAAATAAACGAAATTGTTCACAAAAATAAAAGAAAATTGATTTGGACTAAAGAAACTTTTATTGATGCGTATCAATGTGATGTTTTTAAATTTTATTTACAAATAAAATTTTCGTGTTAAATTTTATAAAAATGCATATTACAAAGTGTTTGTAGTGTTGCTGTGTTTGTAGATATAAATTTAACTGTGTTTTCGTCCTATGGCATGATATTAAGAAAGACGTAGAAGATTGGACGACGAAAGCCGTAAATTGGAATGTTACAATCCGAGAAAAACAAATTGATTAGAATCACTTAAAATTGATCATAAAATTAAATTTATTGATTGAATGTATGAGAAACCATATTGAAAGTAAGGCATAACTTGTTGATATAAATATTTAAGCTTTTTACATCCGCGGCAGCATGATGTATGTTAAGCAATCGAGAACCTAGCAGAAAAAAGGAACTGGCCTTTAAATTTCATTATCAAATGAAATATTCCATATATACATATATACAGATTTTTTCTTTGAAAAATCATAATACAAATTATTTAAAATTTGTTTATATATTTTTTACAACAATATGACGTATACAACATAATGAACTAGTTGCAAACTGAGAAAGAACAATTCTGATTTAAATTTGATTAAAAAGTTAAATTTAGCAATAAAATGCATAAAAATTTGTGCGAAAGAGCCATAATATTTGGGTATAATTCAAAAGTGTTTAGTTCCCACGACATATTGATATAAGTAACATAATGCAAGCCAAGCGTTAAAGCGTGTTATAAGCTGATAAAAGAACAACAACTCTAATTTAAGGTATCTTATCTTACTATTGAAAAAACACGATTTTAGACAAAATTCTCGAAATTGAGTTTACTATAAATTTAGAATCCATGTAGTCGTAGCTTTTTAAAAATACTTTACTTTCGTTTGTACTCCAGTTATTTACGAAGTTATAGCAGTTTTGTGCAAGGTAATGGAGTAGTGATTTTAATTCTTTAAATGCGATTATCTCAAAATCAGGTTTTTCACATTTTACGCCACCTTAAATACGATATCTCATATTGTTTTTAAAATAATTGTCTACAATTTTTCATGTGTGTTTATGGTTTTAGAACACATGTTTTGAACAACAGACTAAGAAAAAAAAGTAGAATTTCATTTTTCATGTATGTTTTTTCGCAAAGACACGTGCAGAATTGTTTAAAAATGTACTTTTTTAACTGCATTGATTCCTAACTCTGCAATACATGCGCTTGCTTTAAGATAATAGTTTAAAACATAGTTGATAGCCTTCTAAAAAAATTTTGAATTAAGGATTTTTTGTTTTGGGTGATGTAATATTTTAACAGTGTTTAGCATATGTGCAAAAAATGGTTTATTTTTACCCAAAAATGGCTACTTAAAAAAATTTTTTAATAATTTTTTTGCTACTTTTGTAAGTTTTTACACATGTTAAAACATATAAACTAGTTTTCTAAAATTTGATATTAATATTTAAAAAAGGAGTTGTCGAAACTAGTCGGTTAACTTAATTTTTATAGAAATTAAAATTTTTGAAATAAAATTCAAGACAACTAATATTGTAAATAAGTCATAAGTTGTAATTATAAATTCAAAGGGCTTTTTTATCCTTCTCGGCAGGATGATATCAGTAGAACGATGGAAGTTTTAAAGGAAAGCGTTACGACTTGCAACAGGCTAAGAAAAAAAGGAACTTTGCTTTATATAACTCGATTATTAAGAGGAGTTGATTATAATTTGTATACAACTGGTAAGTTACAATGTTTTCAAAAAAAATTATAGTTTTGACATTTATATTGCATTGAATGCATTTTGCACATTTAAATCGCAGTAGTGAAATATATACATGCATAAAAATTAAATAAAATAGTTAACGTTTAATTTATGCATCCAAGGAATTTATTGTGCACTAAAATTTTTTATAAATGTAATCTGTATTATAATTTACTTATTTTCAAATTATAGCTCAAGTAATTTATTCTGACTTTAAAACTAGTTATTTTAGCATATATAATTCTGTATATACGAATATTTTAATATACGATGCGAATATCATACGAATACGAATATTAATAAAATATGATAGAATAAATTAATAATTCTATTATTTTATAAGAGTAACGTTTAGAAAATTAGTTTAAAATACATTCATCAAAAATTAATGTAATTTCTATTGGAATAACCGAATATTGTTAATGAATAACAGAACTTTTACGAATATGGGAATCCATGTTAAAACTGTTATTCTTTATTTGTTTTAAAACTATACTTTTTTTTTAAAGTAAAAAGTAACGTTTACTTATTTTTATAAAAGTATTTTTGTAGGAAATATAACAATTCTTTTATGTTTATGGTTATAAAATAATTTATAACTTTTAAAATGTATTGGTGATTAATATTTAATTCCTGAACAAAATGTAAAGAAGAAAACTAAAAGTCGGTTTCAGAACTCATTATTTATGTAACCGTTCACTGTTGGATTTGAAATCTTTTCCAAGCTAAAGAATATTATTTTCAAATAAAATGATATGCAGTCAGATTTATTTTACAGCCACAATTTTATTTTATTTTATACGAGCACTTTGTTTTTAATGATGCGTATTCAGTTTTCACATTTGTTATTAAATAATAATTTTTAAACTAAAAAATGATTTGATGTATCATATTCCAAAACAAAATGTAAAAATTAGAACTAGAAAACGGTTAAAAAATTCGTAACACTTAGAATCGTTTGCTATTTAAATTGAGATTTTTTTTCTCTGTTCCAAGTATTATTTTTCAATCAAATAAGAGGCATTAAGTCTGGTTTTACGTCATAGCTTATATTTGAAAGACAATTTAAAAGTTATAAAAATTTTAAAACATTTCTCATTAAAATATGGATGTAGAATTCTTCATTATTTTGAGTTAGGAAGAATAATATTATTTTATTTGTATAACGCTATTACTGCAGATTCGTTTTAAGATTAAAAATAATCATGAATTTGATCTTTTGAGTTCGTTTTGAAATTCATTTTACTGATATTAAAAGCGTAAATGTTTGTTATATATAATAACTTAAGTTTATTATAAATATTATTTTTTTAATATCACTATTTACAATAGAGGTACTTAATATAACATCGTATTACTTTTTTCAGAGGAAGTTCATGCTGAGTTATGCTATGCGGAGTGCCTTCTGTTGTCAGCATTACTTACCTTCGTTGCTGATAATTCTTTCGTGAATTTTATTAAAGGTGGCTTAAGGATTAGAGCTTGTTACAGAGCTTACAAGTAACTACATTATTTTTTATAAAGTATTCTTTTAGTAAAAATAATGTCGAACCGATGTTCTTAAAGTAAAGATTAATTCCACTTATTTTAAAGGAATATTTTTATCATTCGTGGCTAATAAGTCTCTCATTAAATTCTCCTTATTAAAAACTTGTTCTGTTTTAGAGAAGCTGCTTTAATCTTAGAAAACAGAAAATGGGAAGACGAAAACGACAGGCGACACTATGAAAGTGGAGTTCGCATGGGATTAGGAATATTTTATTTGGTAAATATCTCTCGGCTATTTAGTTTACTACAAGAAAAAGAGATATTAGAGGATTGTATTTGTAGCAATGCTAGTTCAATACTGTTAATAATACAGATCTTTACAGAGTTTCATTTTAAAATGCAGGCATAATCTTAGAAATTCCACTGTTATAATATCGTTGATCAAACAGAAATTATTCATGCTTAGAAGAAATTATTTGAATTTAATTTTCTGTTTTAATTAATCAAAAATATTATATATGAATCCATAATTTCAAAAGTAACATTCGCAAACTTTAAATGCATTCAACTTTATATTAACGAAGAAATCAAGTTGTTTAATTTTTTTAATTAAAATAACTTTTGGTATTGATTACAATACCTTCAACTTTTTATTAATATCGAAATATTAAAAATTCTAACTTTTTTTTAAACTTCTGAAAGTCAATAAAAGTAAAATAAGTGTAAATAATGTGAAGGTGAAATCCTAAATAATTTAATACGGTAACTATTTTTTCCAAATTTAATAAAACTCTATGAGAGAAACAAATTTAAATGAAGCAATTAATAAAAATATCTATCGTTGTGTGAAAAGAATTTCTACAATTGTTTGTGTTTTTTAAATTTATTTACTCACGTTTATAAAGTATCGTGAAAGTATATTTCTACACAAAGGAAGAAAAAAATTTGGACAAACAATTTTTAATATAATTTTATTAAAAATGAATAAAGTAACGAAATATAAAAAATAATAAAGAGAGTAGACTTTTACTAATAAATAAATTTAATTGGTTTCAGATTGGCTTCAGCGATGTAGAGTCGCTTACTAAAACCAGTGGGTCGCAATACCTTAATATATCTCATTCCAGCCAAAGCGATTGTTTTTAAGAGTCCTAAATTTTATATACAGTGCGCAAAATAAAAAACGGTCCACCCTGAATCACTTTTGATCTAACTATCGGATCTTCACTTTCAAAGACTCAATTTTAATGGTTCGAGGGGTGATCTCAAATATGCTAATTAATTAAACCATACGATAACTTAAGACACAAAAACGCACTTTCTCTGAATAAACATACCTTTTTTCCGACAAATTCGGATTTCTAAATCCCAAAATATAGGGGGTAGCCTATATCTGGGAAATATGGTCTCAATAGTTTGGTCAGAAGACCGATCATAAGTTTGGACCCCTTAATATTGATTTCATTTTTTGCGTATTTCCCCATATCTCAAGGACTTTTTAAGCCAATCAAAAAAAATTCGCACTATTATAAATTCGTTTAACTAAAGATAGTTCCAGACAAAATATAATTTTCAGTAAATTTTTATAATGCTTCATTTTTTTGTTTAATAATAGTCGAGAAAAATTTTGAATTGTAGTTTATAAATGTTTTTAATATCATTTTAAATAATTTAACATGGCAAAACAAAGCATTTAAATGGCAAAATACAAATATTTAGTGAAATTGGTTGCATAGTACCTGAGAAAGCGAATCTAAGAAAATCGAATTTAAAAAATTGTATCTTTAAAATTCAATTTCTCTAGAACTGTTTGGCTGATTTTGTTTAAGTTTTGTGCTTTGTTATGTGAAATTACATTCTTTAAAATATTAAAAATAGTATACCTTATCATTCAAAATTGTTTCGATTATTACTAAATAAAATGATACAAATAAATAAGACTTACTAAAACTTATTTTTGCATGGAATCACCTTCAGATAAGCGAATTTTATAAATATGTGCAATTTTTTTTTAAATCACTTAAAACGTACTCGGTATGTGCAAAAAGTAAAATTGACATTAAGGGGTCCAAATTTAAGACTGCTCTTTTAACCAAATTATTGCAGCCATATTACCCACACTGCATCAACCCCCTATCTTTGGGGTTCAGAAATCTGAATCCACCGAAAAAAAGGTATCTATATTTAAAGAAAATGCGTTTTTGTGTCTGATTTCGTGTCTTAAAATATCGTTTGCACTAATTAACATATTTGAGGTCCTAGAACGTGAAGATCTGATCATTAGATCAAAACTTACTTAGGGTGATCCGTTCATTTTTTTGCGCACTGTACAGACCAAACGAACTGTTGTTTTCCTTGCATAAAAAACTTTAACCAGTAGATCTTTTGCTTGACATTGTGACGAGGGCCATCAAACAATACTTAAACTAATAGTCATCTTATAAAATATTTGATATACAGTAGTATCTAAATATTTATTTGATTTGTTGTGTTGCAGGTGGTTTCTCATCTTCCAACGAGAATCATTAGAGTTTTAGAAATGATTGGTTTTTGTGGAGATAAAGTAAGTAATTAGTTTTAAAATGTTACACTATCATAATTACAATAAATACCTTATAAGAAAAAATATTTTATAAATTCAAGGCATTATGAACTTCTTTTTTTTTATTTCTTCTTAAAAGAATCTATAAAATTCTTAATATTATTCTCGAATAGCACCATATGTTACCACAATATTTCTTCCATTCCTTCAATACATTAAAGGTATCTGGTGTTCTGCACTCCTAAATCTTTGTCCCTAGATCGGAGCAATTATCATCGATCAATGGAGCAATTATCATCGGAGCACCTACAGAGCTCCGATGTCTGCTTAAGTTTTATTTTTATAGTTCAGAAACTATGTTTTTTGTAAATGGTTACGAAACCGTATAGCTTTGAATTCACGGATTCTTAACTGTACCTGTTGTAGACGGTTTTAAAACCGTAAAGGTAAAGAAATGATCCTGTCAATAAACTGTATGGTTAATCTAATGAACAGACTGCTTCCGGTTATTTCACCGTAATTTCAGAATGAAAAAATCCTAACAGTGTAACAGACACAGGCTACATACTTCAAGGAATGGCATAAATGGTATAATTTCAACAGACATTATGTGAATATTGCGCACTACAAAAATATTTAATGATAAATGGAGACAATTTGATTTATGAATCGAAAAAAAAACTATTTACAGATGATCAAGTTCATTCTTTCTTTTTTATTTTCAGGAAACAGGCTTGCAAAATATGTATGACTCTGTGGCCCTAGAAGGTTCTTTAAGGTCACCTCTCACAGCACTGTTTCTTTTATGTTACAACACAATTATAACATATTTATTTGGTAAGAGTGATGCAATCGGATTATACATTTATTTAATGATAAAGTACTAGTTGTGTTATGTATAACTAAAGAAAGGTAGTACAAATAGAGGTAGTGAAATGAACATACTATAGTTTCGGTTTTACAAGATAAGAATCTTTCACAATGTCTTTACGCGAAACTTTAATATTTTTGTTTTCAGGCAACGAGGAAAGTTCTTGTTTATAGAGCTAAAACATTTTTATCTTCTTATTTCTCTACCTTTACATGTTTTATGCTGGTTCTTTTGCTTAATTTATGTACTAATATTCGTGAAACGAATTTACTGCTCTTAGAGTAGAATAGAGATCAACGGGATGATAAAATTCATCAAAATCTTGATTAATTGTCGGATAGAAAAGAAAAACGTTAGCGTTTTGTTAGTTTCCTATAATAAGTTAATCAGATTTTGAAGATTTCAATTCGCCCTTCGCTTTGTTTGATTTCGATGATTATTCATCAGATTTCTCTCTCTCTCTGTATATATATANTTTAAAATAAAATGAAATATATATATATATATATAAATAAATAGAGTGAAATAAATAAAATAATAAAAAAAATCGCGAAAGTGCTTCTTTACTTTTCGAATGTCTGAAAGATGTCGAAAAATGGCACACAGTGCCGATTATCCGAAATCCGATTTACCGGACTGTCCAATTATCCATATTGTTTAAGGATCATGTGTTTTTTTCCATCTTCTTAAATAAAATTAAAAAAAAAATGCTTCTTTATTTTCAGAATATCTAAAAGGGGTAAAAAGTGGCTAACTTTGAAAAAAACCTCACGTTCTTTCTGCCAATGGCAAGTAGTATTTGATAAGGGAACAGGTTTCAAATAAAATCTTAAAAAATTAAACTTTTAAACACGCCATTTGTAATATGCTATGATAGGCACTACTACAATTGCTAATCCTAAGCCTGGGAGAAGTGGGAAGAATAGACATTAACATTTTCATACTCATTTTTTTAAGTTATTCAATAATCCGGATTTTTCGTTGTCCGGATCGGCTTTGGTCTCAATCGGTCCGGATAATTGGCGTTCTACTGTAAATGTATACATTGTTTTCTTTTCTCTTGAATATTCCTTTTCGTCAAAAGTCCTAAAAATATAATCTAAGGGTAGTAATTAAAACACATTTAGATAAAGATGAAAACATAATTGTTCAGAAAAATAAAATTTAATTTATTAAGTAAAATACTTTTTTGTTCTAGGTTTGGCTGATGGAGATTTAATATCTTCTGAATACATTGTGAAAAATATGTTGAAGAGATATCCAAGGGTGAGATTTCACTTTATCTGCTTTCAGTCATGTCCATCCTTTCTTCTCTTTTTTAATGACATTTAGAAACGTATGGTAATTGCTTCGAATTTAGTACTTATATCGGTACCGGAGGTACTCTTATTATGTCTCTCAATGTAAGGGAGCATTCAAATTCGTGACCACAAAATCCTAACTTATCAGTATTTATCGTAAAAAAGAAAAAAAAATCAATAAATACATTTTTTAAACAAATCACGTATTATATAAAAATTAGCAAATTTAATATTTCATGTTAAATATTAAAGTAATTAAAAAAAAGTTTATATTGTGAACATTATTAACACAAATATCTAAATAAATTAATGCCAAATAAATAGAGTAGAGTTTTTTTTTAAAAAAAGTTCCATAAAAATTTGTATTCTATATATATTATTGCTATTTCAATAACACCACTTTAAAACTTAATCCAATCTATTCTTACTAAGGTTCTTTAATTAAGATAGGTATAAGCTAGTTTTAATAAACTAAATTCCATGTCTTACAAATCCTCTTTTAATTTTAAAGGCATGAAGTACCCTTATGGCATAACTAGTAATAACAAATGTCTTTATATAACTAGTAATATAACTAGTTATATAAAGACACACTAGTTATATAACTAGTAATAACAAATGTCTTTATATAATATAAGAAGAGAGTGAAATGATAACACATAGCCAATCACAGAAGACTTGCGGTTAGTAACGCACAAAACAGCCAAGCAAAATGCTTGTGAAAGAATAATAATTTAAAAAAATGCTGTCTGCTGAAATATTACAACTAAACATACTAGTTAAACTTTCCTTTGTTTTGAGTATGTTTAAAGATGGTCCAGCAGTTTTCCATTGTCGTCCGTGCATTTTTATTGGCCGGATAATCACGTGGTAGGATCCAGTTTTTCTTCATTTAAATTGTTGTGGTTGTCATCAGCTTAAAACTAATAAAAGTCGTAAAAAAAGTCGTAAAACTAATAAAGTCGTAATCTATAAAGATTTTTTTTTCCCTAATTTAAAGTTATTTTCCTGTACTGCTATTATTACGTTTTCAATTCAATTTTCGAGTTTGAAACTAAGAGAATAGTTGTATTTCTGTATTATTGTTATAATGTAATTCTGGACTACATTTTAAGATAAAGTTAGCTAAAAAGGTCGTCAAATCTTATTAACCGTTTTACAATTATTATTGTTGTGCAAATAACGTTAATATACTGTATTAAATTACAGTTAAAGAGATCTGTTAAATATTAATAACTTAATGATCAGCTTCATGCACAATGAGCTGCAAGCAAAAATAGTATTTAATATAATCCGCCCATTTGGTAAGCAAAAATATTAAATTACGGTTGTAAACTCATCAAATTTGTTTGAACGATATATTGTTACAACTATATATTCTTATAACAATATAATTGTTATTTTAAAAAATGATTACTTCGAAAAATTACTTCTGCTTACTGATAGATCTAAATATTTATAATACTAATAGATAGTAAGATTTGGACGTGGGAAGTAGAGGCACAAGAGTAAGCAAACAGAATTCCTTTTAGTACATATATGTTAAGTGAATAATTTTAGCTTTAGTAGAAAAAACTGTTTTCTTCCAAGAAACGACAATAATTGCGAAGCAATCATCAGGATTGGTGAGTGACAGCGAACAGGGGGGCATAGCCCCCTAGTTTTAAACTAAAAATGTATTAAATAAGTTAATAAATTATGATTTTATAAGCATTTTTACCTTTTAAAGACGCAAAAATTAATAAAACTTGAGCTTCAGTAAAGTTTATAAAATTTAATGCCTTGTAAGAACTTTTTTTTATCTTAAAACCTCATAAAGAGGATTAGAACAAAATATTTTTTTATAATGAATGTATAAACTTTTTTTCAAAAAATCGAACTCATTAACGCTTAAAAGTATTCCTTTTTTCCTTATGTGCTAATGAAGTATTATAAATCCGATTTTAATTGGGTTTTTTACTACGCTGGCTAGTTAAGTTAGTTACGGTTACTAAAAATGGTGAAATAAAGAAAGATATTTTAGCAGCTTATTAATTTTCAAGAGTTATCTGCAATTTTATGGTCTTAAACTATTTTTAATCATTTTACATCGGTATTATTCAAGCGTTAAGATTTTTATAATATGACTTTGAGGAATAGGAAATGGTAATGTTTGTGTTTTTAATTATCACATTTGTGTTACAAACAGTTCCTGCAAGCTTTGATTTTTGTTTGACTGTAATAGGTCGTGTAGGTCAACTATAAAAACGGCTATGCATTAAAACAAATCGAAATTGTTTATTTGACCTGAATTTTGTACCGCTTGTAAATATTTTTATTGTTTTGCCATTTTTTTCTTTACGTTCTTTGATATACTATGCGCAAAAAACAACAACCCCGGATTACTTTGACTAACTTTTGATCTAATGATCGGATCTTCATGTTCATAAATCATAATGGTTCGAAGAGATAATCTCAAATATGCTAATTAATTAGAGCAGACTATTTCATAAGTTACAAAATCAGACACAAAAACGCACTTTCTCTGTATAAGCATTTTACGATAAATTCGAATTTCTAACTCCCATAACATAAAAGTAAAGAGAATCTCCATAGTTTGGTCAGAAGAGCGGTCCAAAATTTGGTTATCCTTAATTTTACTTTTTGTGTATCTTGCCATATCTCGAGAACTTTTTAAGCAAATTAAAAAATATTTGCACGCAATTATAAAATTCGTTTATCTAAAGATAATTCCATGCAAAAAATAGCTTTTAATAAATATTTACTATTTCTTATTATTTTATTAATAATGAAGAAAAACATTTTGAATTATATGGCATTCAATTTTTTCATCATTTTAAAGAATGTAATTTTACATGGAAAAACACAAAATTCGAACGAAATCAGTCAAATAGTTCCTGAGAAAGCGAATTTTAAGAAAGTCATATATTTAAAATTTGATATCTCAGGAACTATGAAGATTGAGTCCCATAACGTGAAGATCCGATTATTAGACTAAAAGTTATTCAGAACAGTCAGTTTTTTTTCTTTTGCGACCTGTATGCTACAAAACCTATGATGCAATAACTCTCCAAATTTGATGTTGGAAACTCTAAAAATTGTGCAAAAGGACAGTTTCCAAGTTAACACCAAATCGCCTTCGTATGCAATTTAAATGGTGTATGAAAGCTCTAAGCAGCTAAAATGCAAAAAGTTTCCTCCAACATCATGTGCTTTTACACCATATGTCATTCATTTCGTTTCCAAAAACTCCAATGTTGGCTCATTTTGGACATCACCAGTAATTGTTTACAATCGATAACAAGGTGGCAGTTGTTTGTGGTTGTCTTCAACGCTGCTTTTCATCTAATTAACATTTGCCATTAAAATAAGCACACCGAACAAAAAATTAGTCACCCTTAGAGAAATCATAAAAAGCATCATTTAATAGCAAGTAACACAGCCTCTGGATTCGATAACGGCCTGGAATCGGTCAGGAAGTAAGTCCGCAAGGTTTTGCAGCTACGTCGAATCTAATTTAAGCCAATTGTTGAGGATTTGATAGAGTGAATCCACCAAATTACGAGGATGCTGATTTCGGCGTTTTACCGGTTGTTCCGACATGTCCCACAAATTTTCAATGGGGTTGAAGTCAGGTGATTTTGCAGGCCAGTCAACATGTACTTGAGTGTCTGAGAGTTCATAAAACCAGTCACATACTCTTTTAGCACAATGAACTTTGCTGTTGTCAGCGTAAAAAATCGGGGTATCGACAACTTGACCACTGCGTCATCTAAAGAAACCTAACGATTCTTCGGTGCTTGCGCACTAGGGTGACTAATTTTTTGTCCGGTGAGCTTAGGTCTGTACATTTTCTGTTGCGTAATAAGCCTATTGATATTTTAATTTTCGAATCTCTGTAAACTCTATTAAATATTTTTATGGTGCAGAAGTTCTTCTGCTGTTGCTCTGTTAAGCCTAGTTTGAATTTGTCTTAATATTCTCTCTGCTACACGTATGTTTTATTTGGTAACTAATTTTATTTTAAGAATTAGTATATGTATGCGACCTAAATTACTAATTCTTACTTTATACTGTATCGTAAATATAACTCTATCGATTCCTATGTGTATCATATCTTTCTGCAATTATAAGTTTTAGTGTTACAGAAAAACAAACATGGTGGTAGCTATTTTACACCAAATAGTGTAAAAGAAGATCCTTGATTTTTAGTGCAGTGGAACACCACTTTGAAATAAAGATTTTTGGTGTTCATTTATCATTTTCATGAACCTGAAAACCACCATTTTTAGTGTTTAGGTATATGAAAATTATTCACAATGCATGTGTTGACATTTTGACATGTATGATATTTTTACATGTATATTTAGAAATGTATACACTGCCCTAAGTTAAGACATAAAAGCATTTTGTATACATTTTAGTCAGTGTTTATGTCATGAACTTTAAAAAAATTTATAAAAATGATGTTAAATTGGAATATTTCAAAAACATAAACATGAGTTTATGACAATTATGCGCTAAATTCACAGCTTAGGATGAAATGAACTAATGTAACATTTTATTCGAAATTATTCGGCAAGTTACTTTGAAAATAATTTTGCAAATAATATTGTAAATAATTTGTAATTACTTATATAGATTTATTCTTTTGTTTTATATTTAAAATTTTTGTTTCATTTCAGGGAGCTTTATATCTATTTCTTCATGGTAGATTATTAGAAGTTAAAGGAGAATTAGATCAGGTACTCCATTTATTTTATATACTATTTTTAATAAATTTCTTTCCATAAATAAAAGTCTGAAATACCTGTACCCTGTACCTGCAGGGTATTGTTTTCCTTCATTCAAGTTTAAAACATTATGCGTTATTAAACTAACCTATTTCTCATATTTTAAAGTAATAAAAATGATTACAAAATTTCTATTATTTTTTATGAAGATTTATGGATATTTTAAACATTTTTTAAGCGCTTTGCATTTTCTACCTTGTTGTTATAGTAGAGAAATGTATAGACATGAGAAAATATGATTAAACTTTTTCTGAAAAAGAGGAACATACTAAAGCCTTAGTTTAAAAAACGCTTTTTTCTTCTTCATAAATTGCTTTAAACGAAGAGTGAGATATTTTTTATTTCCTTTTATAGCTTAGAGTTATTCATTTTAATACTCTGCTAAAATATGTAAGAAAATTACGTATTTTTGAGTTTACCCATAACATTTTCAATGTTTTTGAGCTACTTTTATTTTATTTTATTTATTTATTTCTGTTTATAGGTAAAGCTACATTTATTATTTTTAAATACTTCCAATTATTGTTAACATTTAAAATAAGAATAATTAAAAGTAATTAAAAGTAATCATGTGTTTTATTAAACAATTTTTAGTTTTCTTTTCTTTAAAAAATGATTTGGTGCTCTTTTGATCAATAATGTAAACGCATAAATAAACGTTTTGCTTGAAATAAGCATATTATAAATTTGTATCATAAAATTTCAATATTATAAAAAAATTATGAAAAAATATGAATAAAAGCAAATATGTTATTTTTTGCTGTTGTATATGTATTTATATAAAATATAAAATATATATAAATATGTTATTTATAACGATGCTCAACTAATCCGTTGTCAATATGTTCATCTACTCTGTTGTCAAATTTGAAATCAAAACAACTCTGCTATTTCACATTGTCTATTTTCATTTTGTTTGTGATTTAATATTATGAATTTTTGATTATTTTAAACAACGTTTTCTCTAATATTTACAATTTGACTCCCATTTTGCATAACACTTAATGATCATCAGAAAAAAAATTAAGATTTAAAAAAAAAAACAAAACTAATGAATAAAAAATATTGATCTTATCACAACCAATATTTTAATACTTGCATAATTCACAAAATTTCAAGCTGAAATGCACTTTATTTAAAATAATTGCATATTTGAAAAGGTAAGGTGAAATAAGGTGAAACGATAACCGACATTTTTACCGAAAGCCGTTGGTGCCTATTAAAATCACACCTTCGATTTTATAAAACGGTTGATTTTATATNAGTTTAAAACAATATGCGTTATTAAACTAACCTATTTCTCATATTTTAAAGTAATAAAAATGATTACAAAATTTCTATTATTTTTTATGAAGATTTATGGATATTTTAAACATTTTTTAAGCGCTTTGCATTTTCTACCTTGTTGTTATAGTAGAGAAATGTATAGACATGAGAAAATATGATTAAACTTTTTCTGAAAAAGAGGAACATACTAAAGCCTTAGTTTAAAAAACGCTTTTTTCTTCTTCATAAATTGCTTTAAACGAAGAGTGAGATATTTTTTATTTCCTTTTATAGCTTAGAGTTATTCATTTTAATACTCTGCTAAAATATGTAAGAAAATTACGTATTTTTGAGTTTACCCATAACATTTTCAATGTTTTTGAGCTACTTTTATTTTATTTTATTTATTTATTTCTGTTTATAGGTAAAGCTACATTTATTATATTTAAATACTTCCAATTATTGTTAACATTTAAAATAAGAATAATTAAAAGTAATTAAAAGTAATCATGTGTTTTATTAAGCAATTTTTAGTTTTCTTTTCTTTAAAAAATGATTTGGTGCTCTTTTGATCAATAATATAAACGCATAAATAAACGTTTTGCTTGAAATAAGCATATTATAATTTGTATCATCCAATTTCCATATTATAAAAAAATTATGAAAAAATATAAATAAAAGCAAAGATAATATTTTTTGCTTAATTTATAACGATTCTCAACTAATCCGTTGTCAATTTGTACATCTAATCTTTTGTCAAATTTGAAATCAAACCAACTCTGCTACTTCACATTGTCTATTTTCATTTTGTTTAAGATTTAGTATTATGAATTTTTGACTATTTTAAACAATGTTTTCTCAAATATTTATAATTTAGCTCCTATTTGTACAACACTTAATAATAATAAGAAAAAAACTAAGATTTAAAAATAATAATAAATGAATACAAAATATTGATCTTTCCACAACCAATGTTTTGATACTTGCATAATTCACAAAATTAAATCTGAAATGCACTTTATTTAAAATAATTGCATATTTGAAAAGCTGAGGTGAAAATTGAAAAGCAAAGTAACGATAACCGACATTTTCACCGAAAGCGGTCGGCGCCTATTAAAATCACACATTCGATTTTATAAAACGGTTGATTTTATCTATATTGGAATGCCAATCTATGATTAAAAAAATTAAAACGAAGAGAAAAAAATGTTTAACTTAGTTTCTTAAAGTTTAAGTCTCAAAAGTTAAACCTAAGCTAAATCGATTACTATATTTATATTTTATTTTCACTGAATTATTGACATTTTAATTGAACATTAGCTACATGTTTACATTTACAGAAGGGTTTTAAGATATCAGCATATCTGTCTGATTATCAAAATTTAAAAGTAAAGATTCAACATGGTTGACAGCTTGTATTTTTTTTTAAATTTACAATATATTCCATTTTTGCTGCTGTGAAGTTACTTTTAAACGAATCAAGAGCTTCTCTGACATTTGTTGAAGATTATAAGTTAAAGAATGAGTGATGATCATATAGGCTTTTCTAAAACTTTTCTTAATTCATAAACAGTTCTCATTTGTATTCCTTTACGCTCACTGTTTAATAATTCTTTAAATCTCTCACTTCTATTTGCAAATTGGTTTTAAAGAGTGGAAGATTTTATAATCCAGTGTAAAGGTGGTCACTTTACGTACGAGGAAAAAAAAAACGAATAATTTTGATTAACTTTCAACCAACTTATCGAATTTTTACGTATTAGAACTGAAGCTTAATGGTTGACGAAAGTAATTTCAAATATGCTAATTAATTCGCGCGGATGTTATATAAGTTACGAAATCAGACATAGAAAGGTACTTTCCATGAAAAAAAAAGTTTTTTTTCTGGATGAATTTGGATTTCTTATCCTTGAAATATAGGGAGTAGCCTCAATCTGGGATATATATGGTCCCAATAGTTTGGTCAGGAGAGCGATCCTAAGTTTGGGCCCCTTACTCTAAAGTGTACTTCTTACGTATTTCTCTATATCTCGACAACTTTTTAAGCGAATTGAAGAACTTTCGGCGCGTTATTGTAAAATTCATTTATCCAAAGATAATTCCATGAAGAAAATAATTTTTAATAATTGTTCAGCATTTTATTTAATAATAGTCGAAAAAATTGGAATTGTAAGGTATACAAATCTTCATATCATTTTAGAGAAATAAATTTTACCTGGTAATCTGAAATATAATAAGCCAAAAATATAATTTTTTTTTAGTACTTAAAATCATAATTGATCAAATAGTTTCCGAGAAATCCAATCTTAAATACATTACTTCGAAATCGAATTTTAACGAAGTCTTGTAAAGATTCGAAAAAGTGGCGTATCATATTACCTCAAGGCCTTCAATTTTAGTTTATAAAATGTCAAGTATGTTCTTTTTATGTCTATTGCCTACAGATTTGTAAAACTTATTGACCATATTCTTCCAACATGAAATATTTTTTATGTTCGTTACTTAGGTTCTTTACCAACAATGTCATTAAGAGCAGAAAGTGTGTCGAAATGTTATTATAAAAAAAGTTATATTTTCTCTTTTAAATGCTGATATATGCATTTATTTTATTTTATTTCTTATACATATTTAATTTTCTAGGCTATTAACTTGCTTTTGGATTCATTGACTGTACAAGATACTTGGAGACAAATGAGAAATCTCGGCTCTTGGGAGCTGATGTGGTGTTACAGGTAAAACTAAAAATCTGAAAATATTTAAAAATAATTGGTTGACAAAAGCATGAATAAAAGTAAAAACGTTAAAAAAATAACGGGCTAGCAAAGAGCATGAATAAAATAAAATAAACACATGAAGAGATAAATAAAAAAATAAAAGCAGACGATAAAATTAGAATAAAATTTTTTAGAACAACAGAGTTGTTGATTTTTTTAGAGATTAATTTTCGTTGTGGAATTTGTGGTTTCTTATAGCCCGTTACGGGCTTTTCTAGTTTGCTTTATAATATTTTAACTATCCCGTTACGGGTACTTCATATTTGTTACTGTTTGTGTGTTTGTGATTAAAAGTTTTTTTATTAAAAAAAACTGAACTGTTATTTATATAGCTTATGATACGTTACAGTAGCTAAAACTAATATATCTTTATGCCCGCTAACATTTTTCATTATAAAAATTTGTCTCATTGTGGATTTTACATACAATATCAAAAGAGCCTTTGTGGCTCAAGGAATAGAGCGTTCTCATCCCAATAAGGTTCGAATTCCAGCGATGGCTGATTGATATAAATTACGCTCCCGGATCGCACCGTCTACAGTGCTGACGTATAATCCTTAGTGATAAACGGATCTGTTGCTGTAGTTGTAGTTCATTAACGTCGCACTAGAGCTGCACAATGGGCTATTGGCGACGGTCTGGGAAACATCCCTGAGGATGATCCGAAAACATGCCATGACAATTTTGATCCTCTGCAGAGGGGATGGCACTTCTGCTTCGGTAGCCCAACGACCTGCATGCGAAATCAAGCACTTTTCTGTAGAACAGTTTAACGAGGACCAATACCGCACACCCTCTATCCCTACGCAGACTGAACCAAGTGGTCACCCGCCCGCACACTGACCGTAGCCAGTGATGCTTGACTTCGGTGATCTGCTGGGAACCGTGAAACTGATCTTGAGTTAGAGTCCTCTTGCCGTCAGGCTAACTGTGGGAGGTTTTGGTGGTTTTTCGGGCTAGTTGCCTCAAAAAGTCTTCCGAGAAGGCAAATTTCCCCAATGTTTGATCCAGGAGATCCCTAGTCTTCTGGATTGAGTTCAAACTTGCAGGGCTACGGTGTTGAACATTGACAGTCGTTAACTCAAATTTTCAAAACTGTTCGACGACGGTTATAAAATAAAATAAAACAACATCAAAAACCACAGATGGTGCATTGTCAAATTTAAATAAAATCATTTTATTTTTAAAGGTAATAGAAACACTAAATAATGTTTATGGATTTTCAGAGATTTTTTTTCAGGGATTTTTAAGGATTTTCTGAAATTTTAGGAATTTTCAGGATTTTAATGATGGAGATTTTAAGTATTAGGATTGCTTGAGGAATAACGGAAATTTGGACGGCATGCATGTGATGAGAGGAAAGAATTGACTAACATAAAATCTGAAATTACGATAATTTTTTCGATTGCAATATTAAGCATATTCCATAGCTACATTTTATTTCAGAAGTGTTCTGTATTAATAAGTAGCAGAATGAATGGTTATTTATTTTTTCCAGTTTTAAGTTCGAATGGAAAAATGCACAAAAACATTTAGATTTCTTGAGAAAAGAGAGTAGATGGTCACCTGCAATTTACACTTATGCTTATGCCCTTACACTGTACATGCAGCACATAGAAGAAGGAAGGACCGATGATGAACGGCTATTAGAAATTCATGATTTAATGAGGTAAAAAATTATAATGTTTTTTGTTGTACCAATTTTATAAGCAAAATATTATTTCCTTTCTCATAAGCATTATAATACTTCATGTATAATTTCTAAATCGGTATTAAGTGAAATATTATTAAAAACTAAATAATTTAAGAGGCAAAAATTTCTTTCTGTGGAAAAAGATAAGAATTATGTAAATTTTATGAGGTTGCTCTTATATTGTTTAGCTACATTCCAATATCGGTACTTATTCCAATATCGGTACTGTTCTCATAATTAATAATTATGAGAACCGTGCATAGGAGAGTTAAATAGGCATTATATCTTTTATAGGGGCGAAAAAAATAGATTTCCCTTGATTCAGAGTTCATAAACGAGTTAATAGGTGGCAGCACGAGATATTTCAACAAAAAAGATTTAGGAGAAAATTTTCCACGTAATAGAGAAAAAGAAAAAAAAGAAAAAGAAGTAAATATATAATTATATAAAATTGCATTATTTTTTATAGTTTATTTTATTTTATACAATTTTTTTTAACAAAAACAACAATATGCAAACCAAGGTGAAATAAAAAACAGTCAACGTTTTTTCTTCTTCTATTTTTTCCGAAAGTTTATATTAATTTATTTAGCTTTTTCTATAAATAATTTGTCTGTAGCACGCAGCAACATTTTTGAAAAACGAAAGAAAATTATTTTAAAATTTCATTTACACATTTCTTTTTTATTTAATTCAAATAATAATATTTAATATATATTTTGCTTTATTTAATTTATAACCATTGATTTTTATGGTATAATAAATGCAGTCGTTTTAATTTTTTTTAAATAATTAATTTAGATCCCGTTAACGTCCACCATATCAACAATATGACCCAGTGTCAAAATTTCTTTATCCATGTTTTAAAAGACACAAAAATTATAAATGAGGATTAATGGACAATGTTATATAAGCATATATTTATATTTTCAGGAAAGTACCTGGTCTGAAATTGAAATTAGCAGGAAAATCTTTTCCACTTGAAAAATTTGTTGTAGCTAAAGCTAAAAAATTTGTTTCTCAGAATGATAGGCTACTATTCCCCTTTTTCGTAAGTATAGTACATTAGTGTATAACGCAAAGTGTATTAGTGTTTTGTTGGTGATCATCTGCCATAAAAAATATCTTTTCTTTCGCATGTTTTCTCTTTTTATACTATCATATTGCGGTGTATGAACGTTTATTGTAAGGTATTATCATTTTTATTTAGTTTTGTTTTATGATAAAAAATAATATTTGTAAAAAAAACCTTATTATACTGCGTTTCTTAAAAAAAATACAAAAACTACTTAGAAAATTGCTTGAAACTTTAAGATTTCTAAGATATTCAAATCGGATTTTTTTCATCGGATTTACACCGAAAAGCCATTACATTATCACCACCCTGCTAATAGTATGTACGACCACCTTTAGCCCTCAAAACTGCTAGCACCCGCCGTGGCATTGATTCCACAAGGTGCTGATAGGTAGTCTGAGGTATCTGGTACCAAACGCTCACTAACTGGTCCTGCAATTCCCTCACATTGCGAGGGGGTAGCGTGGCAGCACAAATTTGGTTTTCTAAAAAGGACCACAAATGCTCTATTGGATTAAGGTCAGGTGAATTTGGGGGCCAAGACATGACTTGAAAGTCACTGGAATGCTCCTCGAACCAATCCATGACGATTCGACCCTTATGACATGCTGCATTATCCTGTTGGTAAACACCATCCCCTGCAGGAAAAATGCCATGAATGGGTGAACCTGGTCTGCAACTATGTTCAAGTAGCTTACAGACGTCAGGGATTGCTCTATGAGGATTATGGGTCCTAATGTGCCCCATGAAAGCATTGTTCTTGGGCGAGAAACCGTGAAAACCCGGGCGAGAAACCATGAAAACCTGGGCGACCCCATTGTTATCGATAGAGGGTGGTCATAATGTAATGGCTCTTCGGTGTATGTCAAATACGATTCACTACAAAATTAGGAAGAAAAAATTTGATAGATTTTTTCCGCTCATGCGCAATATAAAAGAACCACTTTAATTATGCATATATTGCACAGTTTTCAAAAAAAAATTTTTAAATTTTAAGGAAATAATTTTTTTATTAATTTTTAATCGCTTTTAAAATTTTTTTTAAATTTTAGTGAATATTTTTCAAGTTATAGCAAATAAAACGTAATAAATAAAAAAGAATTATTTTTTTTTATAAAATTATCCATATTTCCACAAATATTTAAACTTCGCATAAAATTTTTTTGTGCATTTGCTGAGTATAATAACCAAAGTAATTGTTGCAAGTTTCATATTTATTGTTTCATTTTTTGGAATAGGATATTCAAAAATACTATTTTAATTTGTAATTTATTGTTGGTCCCTCAAACGTTTAAAAGTAAACTTAGTATGAGTAACTTAGTAACTAGAGTAACTTAGTAACTAGATTTAGTAGCAAGTAAACTTAGTAATTAGATAAGTATGAGAAATCGCATGATCTAAACACTTATAAAGTTAGAAAATTACTCTTCAAGTATTTCTTGAGAAATATATAAAAAAATGTTTTAGATCAGAAGTGTTTCCTTTATTTTGTCCGCTTTCTGTATGTCCATTTTGTTAAACGCAGAATTTATGCTACGTCCAATTTCAAAAATACTCAATTTGAGCATGTCCATTTTCTAAAATATGCATTTTGAGCTATGTCCATTATGTTAAAATGTAATAAAAATGTCAACAACAAAAAAATGTAATAGTATCGAAGTGTTTCCATTATTTTGTTGATTCCCACTGTTTTTATGTATAGCTGATTGAAGTTTTGTTTTTATTAAAATTAACTAGGGCTACTTTGCGTAAGTTTTCAAAAAACTGTGCACTTTTGCGTTAGTTGAAAACAGGAAAATTACCTATTGAGTTATTTTTCTGTCATGGAGTTGATCATCAAAAAAAAGCAAAGAAAAAAAAGAAAGAAGGAAATATAATTTCGCAGTTAGAAAAAAAATTGTGAGGAACCTGTTCAAAAAAAGAATATGACTTGTCGATTTCTTGAGGATAAAGTTTTGAAAACAACGTCGGTCAGAGAAATGCTGAATTCAGGATAAGCCAACGATGTAGAAATTCCGTTGGTTTTCAAGTAAAAAAGCTCCACCATCACAATAAAGATAAACACCGTCACAAATAAGTGACAGTTTTAGAAGGTAATGTTTCAAATGCTTTATCTTTTAGCTGCAATGAGAAGAATGCCATACAATTTTCTGCTCGGTTAGACAACGTGGACAGCGCCTGATCTGGTACTCCTTCCTCACCAAAATTTCGTAAAACAATCAACTTCGACAGGCGACTGTCAGGATAGACTTAACGTGCACCTTGCTGCTATATGCCAGTTGTTTAGTAGAATGCTGGAATCGAACTCATGACCCCAGTTTTCCACTGTCTCCAGAATAAAAATATACAAATCGCTGCTTTATTTTTATTATTTAAAACATCTGAGCATTTTTTTCTACCTGTGTCCGTGATATTTTTAAATTAAAATGTATTAGTTTTCAACCAATCAAGGTAGTAAAAACAAAGCAAGACAGGGAACAAAATTGTAACATAATTTCGTAGAAAGTACACGAAGCTTAGGAACCATTACTTTAAAAAATTGGTTTATAAATATTGGTATATTACCATAAATTTGGTAAACAACATAATTACGAAGAAACACTATGATTTATTATTTAGCGCAGACATAAAATTATTTTCTCATTACATACTTATCGTTATTTTTGAAAATGAATAGATCTAATTTGTGACATAATTTGAGAGGATAGTTAGTGATATTTTCTGACAAACTATTTTAGTAGAAATTTATGTGAGATACAGCGGCAATAATTTCAACAACACAATTATTACGTATAATTAAGTTTAGAGAAGAATTATTAGACAGCTTAATTAGCTTAAAGCTTGGCGTGACGTTATTATTCTCCTTTTATAATCCAATGGTTTACTTCGTATTTTGTATTCAAGGTTTTTGGTACAAATTTATTCACAAATCCATCTATTATCAAGTACTTTTTAAGATGTCACATACTTTCTTTATTAAAATAATATTTGAAATATTATTTAAAAGTTTATAAATGATCATTAGTATTTTAAACATGTTTTACAAGTTAAATTGATAATGATTATACTATTGGACTCCGCCCCCTGCTCGCTCACATTTTCCTAAGGATTCATCTGAACAACCTTTCCATCTTTTTTTGGGTCTTCCTCTTGGTCTTTTTGTTGCAAGGGGTCGTATTAAAAACCCTCAATTTTGTTCGCTCTGGGTTCATTCTAATTAGTTGCCTCTCTACCCCATTCTAATTAGTTTTCTATAGACTTAATAATATCCTCTCTTTCAAAAATATTATAAATTTCGAAATTATGTCTTTTTCTCCAGATATTATTATTATCGACGAGAAAAACTGAGATCGCTGAGATCTTCTCCTCTCTTTTTGTCAACGTCCATGTCGCTGAAGAATAAGTCAAGACAGATTTTGTACAGCATGATCTTTGTCCCCTTTATTAAATCGGATTTCAATAATGATCTTAAACCGAAGAAGCAGCGATTGGTTACAATAATTCTTTTTCTGACTTCAGAACTTACGTTATTTTAATAGCGTATTTTATGGGTTTAAGTATTTTGTGAGTGATTTCCTTCTTATCAGAATATATATAGTGTTTTCTCCACAATTACCTTTTTAATACCCTTTTCTTGTTGATTTTTCCAGTGCCAAAAAGGTTTCACCCAATGAGCCCACAGCCATAGAATATCTGCATCATCCGCGTATGCGTTTTTCACACTAAGTTCATTTGAAAGTTGAGTTTTAAATGTTAGGAATCAATTTCGCTTATTAATTGTTCTTAATCACTACACATTTATATAAGTAAAGAATTAGATGTGCTTATAATTGCCTTTTATATTACTTACATTAATGGAAAGTATTGATTTAGTTGTGTTTATTAGTTGTGTTCAATCTCATGCTACAGTCATCAAATTCTGATAAAGTAAGGAATCAATTGTTCTTATAATTATATGTTATATTTATCACTTTCCGATTATTCTCTCATTCACATATTGTATAAAATATGTAGGGAATCGATTATGCTTTTAAAGACCTGGTTTCTTAGGACAGGACGCCGTCAGCTGGAAATCAGCGCTAACCTTTGATTGGTCCATTTGTGACCTTGATAGTATACGTCATCGAACGCTCATCTTGAACTACAATTNTGTTCAATCTCATGCTACAGTCATCAAATTCTGATAAAGTAAGGAATCAATTGTTCTTATAATTATATGTTATATTTATCACAATCCGATCATTCTCTCATTCACATATTGTATAAAATATGCAGGGAATCGATTATGCTTTTAAGGTGTTGAAAAAAATAATTATTCAGAACTTAGATATTACAAAAGACTATTGTTATTATTACAGATAATGTTGAGTGGACTCCATCGTAACATATTTTAAAGGATTTGTAAAGAAAAAAAATTAAAAAAATTACAAATCTTGCGCTAGATAAGGGGTACTCAAACTAATATTCTGTTAATCTTATTCTGAAATATGGTCTTATTTGATGTAACGTAAAAATACAAGCTCTCTTACAAGAATACTGTAATTAGATAGTTACAAGAATACTGTAATTAGATAGTTACAAGAATACTGTAATTAGATTACATAGAATAATGTAATTAGATTACATAGAATACTGTAATTAGATTCACGAATACTGTAATGTTATATGTTGATTTTCAAATGTATACTCTTTAATACTAATCCTTGCAATCAAGTCGCAAAAAAATTTACTTTTTTCTTTTTATAATTTTAGGAAATGATGTACGTTTTTAACGTGTTTCCAATGTTTCGAAACCGTCCAGAAATTATGCGAAAAATATTGTGCATTTTGGAGAAAGACTCCCCACAACTTAACGCTGGTCAAGGTAAAGCGAAAGAAATTATCAAAATGTTTCAGTGAAAATATTATTTTCTTGCATGCATTACTGTTGCTTCATTATAAACATTTATAGTATTTCTTTTTAAAATGTGAAATGTCTAAGCCAAATATCTTTTTTAAGTATGTGTATTTAACAACTTATTTGCTTTCGTCCATAAACTCTTTAAACAATGAATTACGTGACGTTAAACAGTTGATAAGGAATGTATATTTTTTAGCCTGGGATAAAGTAGTTTGTAGTTTTGATTCCAAAAAACGTTAAATAACCCAGAAAAATTTTGATTTATAGTTGCCGATAATTTTCCCGCTGTGCCCGATTATTTTCTTTCTTTACATCAGTAACATCAATGAGCAGTGCATTGAAAAATATATAAATAAATAAACGGACCATTCCGAATAGATTTCGATCTAATGATTGGTTCGGTGATTGGTTCTTTAGTTCTAGTACTCAAGCGCAATGATTCGAGAAAGTGACTTCAAGTATGCTAATTAATTAATGCAGACGATTTGTCGTATTTTTAAAATTTGATTTCTCAGGAACTGTTCGGCAGATTTCGGTCATATTTTATATTTTGCCATGTAAAATTACATTCTTTAAAATGGTGTAAAAATTGTATACTTTACAATTCAAACTATTTTCGATAAATATTAAGTGAAATATTAAAAGTAATAAATATTTTCTAAACGTTACTTTTTGCATAGAATTATTTTTGAATAAACGAATGAATNTCTCAGGAACTGTTCGGCAGATTTCGGTCATATTTTATATTTTGCCATGTAAAATTACATTCTTTAAAATGGTGTAAAAATTGTATACTTTACAATTCAAACTATTTTCGATAAATATTAAGTGAAATATTAGAAGTAATAAATATTTTCTAAATAATACTTTTTGCATAGAATTATTTTTGAATAAACGAATGAATGGCTAGGTGCAAAACTTTTTCAATTCGCTTAAAAAGTTCTCGAGATATGGCGAAATACGCAAAAAATAAAATCAGCATTAAGGGTTCCAAACTTTGGACTGGTCTCCTGATCAAGCTATTGGAACCATATGGCTACTCCCTATATTTTGGGGATCAGTAATCCATATCAGTCGAAAAAATGGTACGTTTATTTAAAGAAAATACGTTTTTGTGTATAATTTTGTAACTTAAAACATCATCTGCACTAATTAATTAGCATATTTGAGGACACTCTCTCACCTTTAAGAATGAGTCTTGGAACGTGAAGATCCGATCATCAGATCAAAAGTTAATTATGGCAGACTATTCCGCATTGTGCATAAAATTTTTTTAATGGTAATAGCTATTTTCTTGTGCTTTAATGAATGTGCGAAGAATAGGATAAGTGAAAATTTCAGATGTACTAGGAAATCAGAAGTTTAATCTTAAATTTTAGTGAGTTGGGATTTTGTCGAAGTTTATAGCTTTTAAATTAATCCATATAGATATTTATTGGTTTTTCATATTAAAATATACGTCGAAAGAGTTTTAAATTTCCCAATAATAATAATAATGATAATTCAACTCGTTTTTATCTACTCGTTTCTTTGTATCTAAAAACGCATATAGCATTAACTTTCTTCAACCATATTTTTTGATAGACCTAATAAGTGAAGTGGTGGAAGATTATTGCTTATCCTTACTTCTGAAAGCAGTATGTTGCAAAATACTGGGCGATACAGAATCAGCATGTACTTATTTAAATGAGTTACTCAAATAGTAAGTACAATTCTGAAATTCCCATTCAATTAATTAATTGTACATACAATTTTACTAAAGATATTTTTCTGTCATAGTGAAAACCATCTCACTGATGACATCTACTTGGCAACATATGCTATGGCTGAAATGGGCTATATGGCTATGGACAGAGGACAATACGAAGAAGCCGTACAGTGGTTAGATAAATCATGGTAATTTATTTTAACTAATTTAATTACAGTTTTTTTTATTAATCTAGGCCCTTATAGCATACATGGTGTAATCGCTGACAACCTTGCTTAAGAAGGTTTAAGTCATCCCATCTCTTCTTCTACAGAGCTGACCCACCTAGGGATACTTTTCCGAATAAAAGCACAAAATTGGAAATCCTGGTTGTCACCTCCCCAACATCACTGGTTTATGGGTAGGTAACCGGATTTATTTCGAACACTTCCTTGCGATCGGAGGTCCAACACCAGTCTCTCTCTTCTCGCCAGCGGCCACATTAAGCGCCTACTATATTCTGAGGGCAGAAAGACCTACTGTCAATGCCTGCATTACTATACCTGAACACATCTTAGACAGATCCTGACTTTTATGGGAAGACATCTATACTTCCCCTTGAGCCGTGACGGTCCAGGGGATGGAGCATTCGCCTTTTAAAGAGGTGAACCAGGTTCGAATCCCATCGATAGCTGGTCGAAACCAAATTCCGCATCCGCTGAAGCAGTGCTGGCGTAAAATATCCTCAATGGTAGACGGATCATGGGTTAGAGTCTCCTTGCCGTTAGGCTAACCATAGGAGGTTTTCGTGGTTTTCCTTTCCATGCAACATAAATGCGGGTTAGTTCCATAAAAAAGTCCTCTACGAAGGCAAATTGCTCCCAAAACTTGACCCAGGAGTTGTCATCCCTTGCCTTCTGGATTGGGTTCAGAATTACTAGGCTACGGAGTCGAACAATAGTTGTCGTAAACCCCTTAAATTGGGTCGGCTGTTCAACGACGGTTATAAAATATATTTCCCCTCTCTGGTTATTGATATTAAGCCTGATAATGAATTTACAGAGCTGATTTGACTCCGTCAGACCGGACTAGAGATTAGTGACAGCAACAACATACATGGTGTTCTGGAATGATCACATTCAAAATATATTTTTGGACTCCTTTGTCAAAAATAAAGTCAAGAAAGTCTATACAAATTATTAGTTTTTGCAAGTCAATATTTCAACGAAATAAAAACGTCATCAAAATCAATCAAATTACTATTGAGGAAGAAAGGTCAGAAGACATCAAAACATGTTGGTTGCTGAAGGAAACAAATAACAGTTGGGAGGAGATTGTTAGAAACCCTTCCAAGTTTCGTTTGACTATCTGACTGGTTGTGATGTTTACTGTCTTTTGTCTTCTTTGCTAGTGTTTCGATAGCGTTTCTTCTGCTAATAATTCGTTAACGTTACAATAATATTTTATTTATTTTATTTATTAAGGATTTTAAAAGTGCATTTTAAGTTACTTTCTTTCCTTCATTTAAAGCTTTTTTTTTCTTCTGGAAAAATCTTTCTCGTTGATCTTAATCTTAATAAATCTTAATTAGTATGAATTTGCAAATTGATTTAGCAACACCTTTTCGACTTATTGTTAACATTTTCACGTACTGGACATTTTTATAATTTAACAGAATGATCGAAAATGCAATAATCAATTAGTGCTAACTATAAATTAAGTTACGCACTGGGAACATTAATCTCAAAGAAAGACAAAGAAATTTAGACGCAAAGACGTGCTTTCATTGAATAAACATGCCTTTTATTCGAAGAATTTAGAATAGCGTTCCTCAAAATATAAAGAGGAGAGAGATGAATCCGTTAATTGCAATTTGGAAGATTTTTAAATTGTTATTTCTTTTTAAATAGTCTACCAATTTATTTCAAATTTTAGATGTATTTCAGTTTTAAGTACGTAGTTTTATATGATAAAAAAATGTTTTTACTTGATAATTGAAACTTTTTAAATATTTATAAGCCCAACTAGTTTCATAGAAATAACGTGAAAATAACATTAAGGAGTTTAACAATGGATCACTTTCCTAACATCACATTGGGAACACATTTTTATTTACGGAATTAGTTCCAGAAATATGGTGCAAAATGTGAAAAAATAATATTAGGGATTTTAAGCATAAGATTGATTTCTTAACCACACATTGGGACCCCATTTTTATATACGCAATTATTCCAGAAAGATAGTGTAAAATGTGAAAATAGCATTAAGGAGTTGAAACACTGGATCGCTTTGTTAAGGAACCACATATTTTTATTCAATAGGGCGAAGTGTGATAACAACAATAAGGAGTTTATCAATGGACTACACATTGGGACCACATTTTTTAACGCAATTAGTTCCCGACATATAGTGTAAAATATGCAAATAATATCAAGTAACTTAAAAACTGGACCATTATCTTGAAAACCCCAGTGGGGCCACATTTTCATTCGTTTTATTACAGAGATACAATGTAAAATGCAAAAAAAAAAAAGTCAAGTGGTGTAAACACTGAACAGCTTTCATAAAAACTACATTAAGGCCACATTTTCATCCGTTTTATTAGTTTCAAAAATTAAGATATAATGTAAAATATGGAAATAGCATTAAGAATTTTAAACAATAGACTGCTTTCTTAATCACACATTGAGGTTACTTTTTTATTTAGGGAATTGGTTCCAGAGAAATAGGGTAAAATGTGAAAATAACATAAAGGAGTCTAAACACTGGATCGCTTTCTTAATAACACATTGGGATCATATTTGTTTTACGTAATTCATTTCAGACTTATAGTGTAAAATGTGAAAATAACATTAAGGAGTCTAAACACTGGATCGCTTTCTAAATAACACATTGGGATCATATTTGTTTTACGTAATTCATTTCAGACTTATAGTGTAAAATTTGAAAATAACATTAAAGAGTCTAAACACTGGATCGCTTTCTTAATAACACATTGGGATCATATTTGTTTTACGTAATTCATTTTAGACTTATAGTGTAAAACTTGAAAATAACATTAAGGAGTCTAAACACTGGATCGCTTTCTTAATAACACATTGGGATCACATTTGTTTTACGTAATTCATTTCAGACTTATAGTGTAAAATTTGAAAATACATTAAGGGGTTTAAACACTGGATCTCCTTTTTAACGAATCACATATTTTCACCCAATTACATCTCGAGAAATTGGGCTAAATGTGAAAATAAAATTAATAAATTTAAACATTGAAGCGTTCTCTTAATCGTACATTGAGTCCACATTCTTTTACACAATTATAGTGTAAAATATGCAAATAACATCAAGTAGTTTAAACATTAGGCCGTTTTCTAAAAAACCACAGTGGGGGCACGTTTTTATTCTTTTTATTTGTTTCAGAGATATTGAGTTAAATATGAAAATAAAACCAAGAGGCTTAAACACTGAACCGCTTTCTTAAAAAACCACATCGTTTTATTAGTTTCAAATGTGACATAGGGATACATTAAGGAATTAAAACACTGGGCCTCTCGTCTAACCATATGTTGTGGTTATATTTTCGAGATAATCCAATTTCGTGCTTAATTTTTCAGAATGCTTTATTTTCTATTGTTTTCACAAAGGGTATATTTTTATATCTACAAAATTAATTTCAACGATTTAAAAGTATCTGTATCATGCTCATCGTTGATAAACTAGCTATATTTCAAATTTTATATAAAATTTAGTTCGTTTTTTTTCCTTCAAAAATGTTTTCATGTGTTTTCAGCCACGCGCACACAGACTATCATCTGGAATCATTCCTCCACTACCGAATCCACGCTGCCATTCGCCATATACAAACTCTGAGCTCACTTTTGGAACGGACCCACCTGACAGAAGACATCCAAAAGAATAAAGAGAGTGGATTGTACACTTGTTCCATGAGCCCCTCCAAGCAGAATGGTTCCATAAATATTTATGACTCGCCTGTGCCACCTTCCGTGACTTCGTAGTCGCGCACGTTTGCTCCAGTGTCATGACATAAACATTCCGAAATGTACATTCCTTGCAGAGATTGTGTTTTTGACAAGTTGAGAACTGTGACGAAGTTTTTCCTTCAGTGCTGTGCTTGGCGACATATCTGTATTACCCCTCCTATGCGTACATAATATAAAATATTTTATTCGCCAAAGAAGAATACTCAATCCTTCAGAAAAAAATATTTTGTATTCTTTGGACTGGAGTATTCTGAAATTTTTTTTATTACTGATATACCGAAATACATTTAGCAAAAATTCAAAATTTAGCTATTTTTTTTTAGAGGAATATGAATAATTTAACTGCAGCTTTATTTCAGAAAGTTTCATTTTAAACATATACTACTGCGTTTTTGTATGCATGTTATAGATTTAAAAAGAGTAATTTCCAATAAAACAACTCTGAATGAAATTTTCAGTCCGAACACAAATTAGAAACGGCGATCATAATATAAGCAACGGTATTGATGAGATATACCTCTTAGAAGATCATTTTTAGCTATCTATTTCAAAACTCTGCTTAGAAAACCAGATAATTTATAATCATCAAGTTCAAAATATATCTGTAAAGTTCACCACCAGATGGCGCGGGTAACCGTGAAAAGCAAAATAGCAACGTTTTCAAAATATTCACAATTTGCAGCAACCACATGGTGCAGTATTAGGACGAAATTAACAGACGCCCGTACGAATATTTCAATTTAAAAGATTCAACAAACTGTAGAAAACATTGTTATAATGTATTTTCAATTAGCAAGGCCATCTTTTGATGAACTTATAAACTAACTTTGAAACTCGATAAAAATAAGTCCGTAATTTCTTCTTTCCAATGACAGGTAAAATAAAATTTGTCTGTTGATTAAATTTATTTTCGTTATAAATGAATATTGAAGTACGTCAGACGTATGCAAAAGTTCATCAAAAGTATAAAAAATTTGAAGCAGAACATCTTCTGACCAATTTGCAGCTAGATGATAAATTATAAGTAACGCATGCCCACCTACCCCAGAAGGCTTTCAAACACATAATATCTTTCAGGAATCGTATGTGTGACAGACGCTACTCTTCACTGATGAAGAATTGATCTTCAATGAAGAATTAATTTTGGGGAAACAATTGGTTAAAGATATCTGCAAATATGTTATATAACTAGACACTTTTTTTATTTAACCTAAATGCAAAACTATCAATCTTTTCTTCCAATAAGATTTTTGCATTAAGTTTATAAGCAGTTCTTAGTAAACCCAATATAATAAAAATATTATTAATTATTTCATTGTAATTCAAAAAATTTGACTGTTCGCCAACAAAAACAAAACCTTTATTTAACCCTTTTCCGTAAGAAAACAGAAACTTACAAATTTTTAGGAAACCTCAAATTTTAAAATACTTAATAGAAAAATGTTTAAAATGTGTTCATCAAAACTTTGTGATTCGTCCAAAATATAACAGTAATTTTCACCTTTTTCATCTTATTTATAATATCTGCAATGTTTTCATTGCTTACATTTAAACTCCCTTAAAGCTTTGTTTACGTATTAAAACGTTAAAACATTGCAATGTGTGTCTTGTATGCAAATTTAAATTTTTTTTAATAAGTTTCTTAATTACAGGAACTATTTGAAATACGTGTTAATATATTAATACCATAACACTATTTTTAAAACTGAATTAACACCTTAAAAAACTACCGAGAATTAATCATGAAAAAAGATAAGGTATTATTTAATAAAACGTGATTCATCTTCACCAACTTGTTTTATTTTATATCTTTTTAATCTTATTTCAAAAAGCATTAAAGTGTCAAAAAAGTTTTCGATTCTGAGCATAAAATAGTTTTTTTATACGAATTAAAAAAATGTGATGGTAGTATCTTTAAATATGCATGTCGTTTATACGTTGTTGTTGTGTGTACATTGTAAAATATATACCATTTTGTATGTTTATAGATTGCAAAATATAATATAGTTATAATCTCATAGTCAACTGGATTAAATGTATTGTTTTTACTAAATAAATTTATATTTACAGAAAAAAAAAGTATCTGTTTATATTTATCGAAGGAGTATTTGTTAACATGAAAAATCAATCTTAAACTGCAAGTTTAACTAAAATGTTTTAAGTTGGGTTCGTGAAAATAGACCATTGAGCATCTACCGGATCCGGTCAGTTGCCAGCTCATTTGCTTGCGAAGTACGTTCGTATAGTTTGTCTAAAATAAGTACTCCTCCAGATAGTCGTCTGGACCTGTGGCGGTGACTATGGTAACAAGGTATGACTATTTAAAGTAGGGGTGCGGGGTCACTGTTTTGGAGTGGTTTCGGATCGGCTCGGCGAGAGAAAGAGAATCTCTTCGGTCTGTTGTGTTTGTCCCAGAGTGAAGCTACCTTCCCAAAAATGCGCCATTCTTGTTTCCATAGCACCAGACGGTCTCAGACTTTGTGGCGGGAGGAGTTCTTTATTTTCTCCCGATAAGTTATTTAACAGACCGGTAAGTTTATCTGATAGTGTGCCCATGTAAGGGTAAATTAGGATAAGAATATGCATAACTTTTCCGCAGAGACGCAGGATATATCCCAGTTGGTAACAGTGAAACCTTTTAAATTGGGCTGAACTACTCATGATGGTAAGGAAAGTACACCCGAGATTTAATGATTGCTTATGAAGGCTATAACCATTTTCTCTGCTTTCTTGGGATCTTCCATAATTTTTAATTCTTGATAGCCTTAAACAGTTACTTACTTTTTTTATTATACGCTTTATCAATAATTAAATTTTTTTTTTTTTGGATTTTTAACCATCTCCTGCATATAAGCCTCATAAGAGGACATATATAATTTTCTTCATTATGTTATTCAGATTCGCATTTATGTTGTAATTTGCATGTAGTCCTCATTTGGAGAGCCCAAACACTTATTGGGAGACACATGAAGTGGCAGGCCAATCAAGATAGTTAAAAAAATATGATTTTTGGAAATCGATGGAGGGTGTATTACATTATATTGAAAAAGTTGGTATTTAATTAAATCTTCTTATATCATATAAATGAAGTTTTGAATATTCAGTTTTTCTACGATTAAAATTATATTGATAAAATATACCACAAAAACACGTAGACTTGGACACCTGGACACCATTTTTTAAATATACCGCACGAAAATTTTCAAAAATTAATTATCACACCACAATTCTGAGACACAAAAGGGGTTTGTAGCGTATCTAAATATTTTTTTTGTAACTCAAATGCGAAATTCATGCATGAGAGGGTTTAATATCTTTGTTTTATTTTTCGCTCCTATTATTCATGATTATGTTCATCAATTATATTTGTAAATCAGCTAGGACAACGTGATCGGCAGTTATCGAGCAAACGTACCTCTCTCACATTCTAAAGTGTCTGTCAGTCGAGCGTGGAAGAGGGTTGCCAGAGCCACGTCTACAGGATGTTTTTTAATTTCTTGATCCATTTTTGACTCATTACCGATTGGTTTAAAATACATTTGTTTTACAAAAAAAATCAAACAATTAAAATTTCAAAATCTTCATTTTTTTAAAGTTCCATATTTTAAAGCTTGGTAAAAAAATTGCAATTTATTAGTAGTTAGTTATTAAGTAAAGTGTGCTTATAATTCTTAAAAGCACTACCCTTTAAATATTTAATCAAGTTAATATCAAAGTTATTTCTGGAAAAATTACAACTCAAAGCAAAATTATATAGCTTTACTTTACAGTGCTACTCTGGAGGAAAGAATTTATGTTCAAGAATTATACTGCCGTCCAATTGAAAAAAAAAAACAAAGTAAAACTTTTCACGAAAAATTTGAAAAAAAGCGCCTTGATAACTATTTTCTTTCCTTTCCTATTGCTATCAATGCTGAAATATAATTTCAGAATGCGAATAAAAAAAGTGCTTTGTTGAAAAAAAATTTTTTTTATGTGAAACTCATCATACAAATATTGCAAATACATTAAAAATTTCAATTTTGAATTTTTTTGTAGCTTCCATTGATTTTTATAGTGCACAACAAGTTTTCTGAATTAGCTGTTAGGTGCCCCCAATCTATTAATTTCTATTTCTTAAATATTTCCTTAATTTTGTTTTAAATCTTGCCTGTAAATCACAAGTTTTTTATTCATCTATTTGTAAATTCTTTTTTCTCGTTTTAGGAACTTTTTTGCTTCTTAAGTTCCTAAAACGAGCAAATTTTGCTTCGTAATTTTTGCTTCTTTGATTGATTTAAATGAAAATTTGGTCCTGAGGAGGGCCACGGTGAAAGCCTCTCGAAGCGAGCTGGTGAGGTACAGCGCGCAAGAGAACAAAAAGTAAATAATAAGTAAATAAAAATAAATAAAAAATAAAAACGAATTACCATAAATTATTAGATTTTCACTTACAGTTCAATCTTAATAGTTTGAGGGCGTGACATCAAATATGTAAATTAGTTAATACAGACGATATTTTAAGATACGAAATCAGACACAAATAACTGACTGAGAACAAACATACCGTTTTTCTACAGACGGATTTTATTTATGACCCTCAAACAAGTAACTGCAGTCTGGGAAATATGGTCCTAGTCAAGAGAGTGGTCGAAAGTTTGGAAACTAATAAAACCAAAATAAATTTAAAAAAAAAAAGGCAGATATTAAAAATTTGATTTCTCCAGTTCTCAAGACCCATTCGACCGATTTCGTTCAAATTTTGTTTTTTGCCATACAAAATCACATTCATTCTTTCAAATGATTCTTTCTTAAAAATTTGAATACCTTTCAATTCGAAAATTTTTTCATTACAGTTTAATAAAATAATAAATAATTATCAAAAATTATTTTTTGTGACTAATTATCTTTGGATTAGCGAATTTTACAATTTTGTGCAAAACTTTTTCAATTTAAAAAGCTTTTGAGATGCGGTGAAATAAGCGAAAAGTGAAACATACGAGACACAATATTTCGAGAAATATTTCTGTCTAAAAATTATAGTTACAATGATTATATAATTATATAAAAGTTATAATTATTTCATAATCGCCTACAAAGAAGAAAAAAAACGTTGAGGTTCGTAACTGACTATTCATGTACCCAATTAATAAAACATTTCTAGCTCCAGAAATTGCAATGAAATGTCCTTACCATCAATAAGCTTTTATAACTTAACATTAAACTTTTGAATGCATTCGCGATTATTCGTAAATAAAAACGAAATGTTTCTGGGATGAAAAGTTTAAGATTGCGTACACTTTTGGCCTCATTCATGTTAATCCATTTCATTAATGCATTTACTATGTTCTTCACAGTCATCGCAAAGTTCTTAGAAACTGAAAAGTTTAAAATTTTTGCATCTGAAATCAATTACTTGTAAGTAAAACGCATTATCAACGCTAATTAACTCCAAAGATCAAGTACACGTTTTCCTTTATTGCAGTTAATTATCTGTCGTTAAAACTCTTTTGATCGTTGGGTAGAAGTTTTAGTCATTTATTCTTTCTTAAACTAGGTTTTGTTGCTGTAACGAGATCTATTGATCGATTTTTAAATAATAAAAAAACTAAATCATGCATTGAAAGTTTTGAATGCGTTAAAAAAAGTAGCATTTATAGGATAAGTAAAGACATTTCGAAAGATTGAAAAGTTTAGTTTCATTGGAGGCATTAATGGTTTGTTCTAATGTTATTGATAAAGGTATTTATTTCTAGCTTTCTAGCTTATTTGTATGAATATTTTACCTTCGAATTTCTAATGAAGTATAAGTCGTGGGCTAATATGGGCCAATGCCTTCCTCTGAAGATAAATCCATAATGACTTCCGATTAATCTACAATTCTTTTCATCAATTGGTTGACTCCATGGCTGACTCCAGCGAGTCAGCCCATCATACCGGGTTCTTCCCCGCTTTCTTGTTCCAAAAAGCAGCATCTTTTTTATTGTATTATCATCCCTCATTTGAATCACGTGGGCCATCAAATTTATTTTATTTATTTTTCTGTATTTAATGATATCGGGTTGTTTATAAATTTTGTATATTTCAATGTTAAATCTCCTTCCCCAGTTATTGTTTTCATTTACACCACCAAGTATAATTCGCAAAATCTATTCCTTGAATTTAAATGTCTGCTTCTGCAACTAATTTAACCAATACATCTATCCGGAACCGTGGTGGCTCAGGGGAAAGACCAAGGAGAAAAAGAAAGAGAACATGAAACTAAAACACCTTTTTGTTTCATCGTTCGACTAGCTGTCGAACGAATATTGCCTAAACTTGATTTGGATATTTTCAAGTACGTCTTTGTTGGCTATTAACGCACTGAATAAATCAATAAATAATCATGCACTGAAATATAATTGCTTCAATCGACGTGTCCATCTTTGAACTGACACACGATGACCAACAAAAACGTACTATTTAAAGATTTTTGAGACCGACTTTTATTACTCCTCGATGGCCAATCAATGCTGTGTTATAGTCGGAGAAGCTCTATAAGAAATTTAATAATAAGTTTCTTAGTTTTAATAGGAGGCAACTTCATCAGAGGGTGATATAATATTGATTTTTGTTCGGAATCATCATGTAGATCTTCCGTAAATCCTTTAATTGTCAATCTTGTAGATATCCTTTGATTTCAGTACAACATTTCAGATTTGAGTTGGTTCGATGCAACCTTTCTTACTGATTATCCTCTCGCAAGTCAAATACAATGACCATCAGCAATTCAGCAGTATTCTCCCCAGCAGATCTTATCTTGTTTGACTCCAAAGATCTCCTTAGAATTTCTCCATTCAAACTCAATAATTGGATAGAGTTTTGAAATTTCCACAGGACCCCCCACCTCGTATAGAAATTGTTAGACCGAATTCCTGATCAGTTTGCTGATTAGGAACAAATTCCAAATCAATTTGCTCATTAACCGCTTTTTGCTAAAAAATTTGATTTATTTTTCTCACTCTAGTTTGCAATATCTCTTACGTTAAAAATTGAAATCCTTTGAAATTTTTATATGCCTGTATATTACATCTATCGATTTTCGTTTCATACGTTCCTTTTTT